GTGCAGCGTTATACATGCTGCCGCTGGGGGGCGTGGAGGACGCAAGCGGCGAGCGGCAGAGAGGAGACGCCGCTCGCCGACAGGTAAGCGGAGGGGAGACCGCGGGCGGCGACAGACTGAGGGTGAGTGCTGCAAGTGGCGTGTAGCCTCCCCTCCTAGCCGCCCGCCGATCCCTGACACAAGGTACACAACAGGCAAGTGAGTATTGTGGGAAAATGGGAATTTACAAAGCTTGACAAAGGAAGTGGAACTTGCCTTAAGCTCCACCTTGACTTAAGCTCCACCAAGCATGGGAAAATTTTATAAGACCAAGTTGTCCCTATGTTGTCTCATGTATTTTACGAGAAAAAGATCAGAAATGCAGAAAAGTGGAAACCCACAAAAGGTGGTTCTGAAAAACTTATTACCGAGCCTTAGAATGGTCGGACTTAACGTATTACTACAGCAAAAAAACAGGTCAAGATAAACCAAGATTAGGAATAAAGAAATAAGCATGGAGCGGTCAGGCCACGCAGCAGGAGGAGGACAACGTGGACCATTTAAGGTAAGTAATGCTACATATATCCGGAGAGTAGAAGAGAAGAAGAAATGATTGGAGAACTGTACTTTTGGCGTGACAGAGCCAATTTAACTGCATATGAGTTAACATAAGCCAGTTAGTTTAACATCTCACAACTGCGGTATTCAGAAAGCAGGTGTCATCGTAATAACTCTACAAGACTGATAAAGTAATGTAATGACTAGTTGCCAGTGAGTAATATAAAAGGGATGCATAGTCTCCATTAAATAGGGTTTTTTTTTTGTAGAGTTGCACAAAGGGCACAATAAGTTTTCTTTTCAAAGGATATAAATCAAACCATCCCAAGGAGGGAGTAAATTACATAATCTCCTTTATAAAGCAGAAGTCTTCTGGATTTATGGACTAAGAACCAGACGACAACAGGGAATTAGCCGTGAATGGGGCATTAGTCATTTCCACTGACCAAGAAGGAATGTTTAGTGCATTAACTTTTACTTCTTGCAAATATCACCTTAAATTACATGTCAGTTATCCAATGTGATTTGGAATTCAATTCATGCCTCTGCAAAGTATTCTCCACCATCATTAATTTATGGATATTTGGCCATTTAAATCTCCATTGCACTCAGACACTTCTAAACATCTTTATCATAGCGGAATGTTCAAACAAACAGATTGATATTAATTGCAGGAGCAAATAGAATATGATCAAAATGAATTTCAGCAAGTCAAATTTAAAAGACAGAATGGGCAACAAAACAAAAAGGATAAGTACAGGAAAGAGGGAGGATAGAGTAAAGCAAAATAGTAACAATATACCAGCAGCAAACATGATTTGAAGTTGACCCTACGTTGAACATAATGGAATCAAAAGTTTCTTCTAACACAAGTCATCCATTATTACCTATTACCATGAGTTAGGATACAAGCTGATCATTGATTAGTATTGCACATCAGAGAATTGTCATTTCCTCACTCATAGAAACCGTACATAATCTCATTAATACATTGTATTCTGAAAACAGAAAGTGGTGCCCACAGTCTGAGACAGGATTTTTTAGATTGAAGAAATCCTACAAATGCCTTCTGAAAATCCCAAATGCAATACAAAACCATGGTTCAATTGGGGTCAGTAGCTGTCTGAACAGTTGTTGTTCTCCCAGGAGGGGATCAACTACCTTCTTCCTTTAGGACAACTCAATGAACTGTCCCTGACTATGGAGCACTTGTCCATTGACATGGTTCCCCATGTTACCTTTTCACACCCCTTATTTGCTCCTGCTTCCACACTCTCTCTTTCTATTCCTTCCTTTTCTATGTTTATACACATCCCATCTCATTGAAATGCATTAACAATATTCCCAGCCTGTTTGGCCTCAGTAGAGGTCAGTTTGTCCAAAAAGGGTGTTGGCTATTATATATTTTTCTTCTTCTAAATTTCTAGTTAAAATATATGGGTGTTGTGATGGAGCTCCTGTACCACGACTCAGAACCTCCGCCAGGTCTGCTTCCTTGCTACTGCCAGGAACCTCAACTCAGAAGTACTTCACAGTTCCCTGGTAGTAGCAAGTAGATCTGGTGGAAGTACTCAGTCGGAGTTGAGAAGCTCCATCACAGGTGTGTCTTATACTCCAAAAATAAGATTGTTTTCGTTAAGGAAAACACAGACTAAACATTTGACTCTGATTTTAGAGAATATTTTTCTTCACTATCTTGCTGTAAAGGCAGCATACACTAAAATTTAGTAGCACCACTAGTGGCCATTAAATTATTATAATAGCTACAGATCCTTCAGGTGAGGATTCTTAAAAGCAGAATTGTTACGAATTCATGTGAACTGACTACTGTCAACAGAAATGCTCTCGCTCAACTCTTTGTTTTAAAGGAACACTATAGTCACCTAAATTACTTTAGCTAAATAAAGCAGTTTTGGTGTATAGATCATTCCCCTGCAATTTCACTGCTCAATTCACTGTCGTTTAGGAGTTAAATCACTTTGTTTCTGTTTAAGCAGCCCTAGCCACACCTTCCCTGGCTATGATTGACAGAGCCTGCATGAAAATAAAAAAAACTGGATTCACTTTCAAACAGATGTAATTTACCTTAAATAATTGTATCTCAATCTCTAAATTGAATTTTAATCACATACAGGAAGCTCTTGCAGGGTCTAGCAAGCTATTAACATATCAGGGGATAAGAAAATCTTAATTAAACAGAACTTGCAAAAAAGAAAGCCTGAATAGGGCTCTCTTTACAGGAAGTGTTTATGGAATGCTGTGCAAGTCACATGCAGGGAGGTGTGACTAGGGTTTATAAATAAAGGGATTTAACTCCTGAATGGCAGAGGATTGAGCAGTGAGGCTGCATGGGCATGTTCTATACACCAAAACTGCTTCATTAAGCTAAAGTTGTTCAAGTGACTATAGTGTCCCATTGGCCGAGAGTCTCTGCTTGACAGAAGAATTTTTTAGTTTGTAAAATGATTTCAAAACCAATATGCTAGAAATCTGTATGTGCAAAACACCAGCCTGATCAAAAGCAGTAAACATTTATGGGATCAACACCTGGTTTCAAAAGATGAGTTTTTTTGTTTATTTATTTTGCACATTGACGCATAGGTGTGAATTGACCTAGAAGGTAGACATTTTTCCATTTGCCTGTCATCAGTGATACATCACTGTGTATCTTCTACAAACTATTATAGAAGGTGACAAAAGAATTCCAGTTAAAATAACTTATCTGCTTTTTGTAATTAGATCAGGACCAGGGGTGTTAGGTAAAATGTATTTGAATCTTCTTCTTGTATTAGGGGATCAAGACATTCTTTATCTGTGTTCAAACATTTAAGGACACGAGACATAACCTAAAATTTCCAAAATCAGTTTCATTTACTGGGGTTAAATTGGAGGATTGCTGTGAATTGCAAAGAGGCGTTTAATGTACCCTTTTGATTTAATACCAAATAAGCTATACTCTCCCCACAATTTTATCAAACTTTTAAAATTAGATGAGATTTGAATCACCTGCGGCTTCATATCTCAATTTGGACTTTTGCAAAATCTGCCTTGGGGACAGTACTTTCATAACATAATTTCCACCATTTTTTCAGCATTCCCAACTCGACATGCAAATGAGCACAGTTAGCCATCTTTAGAGATGAATTAGGAACATTTTGTAATGGAATTTCACTTCAAAAAGAGGTTCTCCTTTTCCGGTTTGTGAAACAAATATAAGCTCTAATTTCCCTTAACCACTGTTTATTAAGTTCAGTGTAGCAGGATTATGACATCACTGTTCATCTGATGTCGTTTCTGTGGTTCTTCACTTTTAAAAATTATTTTCCTGTTGGTTTTGTAATATGTTTCTATAATCACACTTTCTACTCACCTTATTTTCTCTAATCATACCCCAATAAATTATTTTGGAATTCATAAAATTGTACATTTTGTATAAAAGATGTTTCAGTCCTTTTCATGCTACCTGTTCGGTATCTTTCTCTGCCAATCCTCATCTCTGGCTATTTCCATAGTTCCCTCAAGAAATGTTCTAATTTTCCACCAAAGGGAAACCTGTGATGTAACAGGTGTTTCCTTATCTTATTGTCGTTACAGTGTGGTTCCTGAGTGATTGTGTTTATATTATATTGTTGTCGTTGCTGTAATGGTTATATTCTCAGTGTACCACAGGTCACTGTCTAGTCCATATCCAAAGTCTGTGTACAATTTCCTGTGTATATCCTGGCTCAACTTCTTATCCTCAACTCCTGTATAGGAAATCTAAATGTAAACACACAAATTAAATACAATCTACAGCCTCTCTGTATGTGGATGGGGTATTTCTACACCGTGTAAAACACATGACTTAATAATTAGGTTGTATACTTTCTTAATGTTTATAGTTAATGTATAAATACCAGTTTTCTTCTTCTTTTCCCCTTTTTCTAATAAACACATACTTTTGCATTTTATTATTTTGCTTCCCATGATTTACCTGTGATCTGATAATCATATATCCTGGTCCTGTGTGCTTCGGGTAATCCATTACTGTGTGAAAGAAACAGAAAGAATAGTGGGACAGAGAGTGCAAAAAGAAACAGGAATAATAGGGGGACAGACTAATGGAGAGTGCAAAAAAAAAAAAAAAACACACACAGAAAAGGATTGAGAGAACACTGATTGAGAGGAGAGAAGTAAGTCAGTGAAAAGTTCAAGGAGAAACATTGAGACTGGGGGAATGCTTTCTGTAATAATATTTTTTATTGAGAATGTATCATATACCCTTACCTTGTGTATATACCCTTACCTTGTGTATATACCCTTATCTTTTGTGTCACTATACCCCACTCCCTCTAGCATGTAAGCTCATTGAGCAGGGCCCTCAACCCTTCTGTTCCTGTTTGTCCAACTCGTCTGGTTACTAATACGTGTCTGTTAGTCCACCCATTGTACAGCGCTTTGGAACTTGTTGGCGCTTTATACATATTAATAATAATAATAATAATAATAATATGACAATTGAACATCACGTGTTGTTGGTACATCATCTTCATATGTCATCACTATAGTGATACGTACAAAATGATCTTTTCCATTTTTTTTTTTTATGTCAATCTGTTTTTTTTATTGAGGTAAAGATAGGGTCATTTCCAGGATGATTGGCTAGACAAAAGGTCCACCCCCACTGTCCGGGTGGACGTTTCCATCCCACTAAGAACAAAACCACAAACTCTAGAAACAACATATTTGCCATATGTCTCTTGACTCTAGAAATCCTAGTAGGGAGTTTTTTTTTCATTAACAATATTAGGAGTGGAATCAATTATGCTGAGATTGGAATGGATGTGTGGACCGCAACCACTTCAGAATAATACCGGGCCATGTATTCCAGTGTGGGGCGTATTGTGTTTGAAATGGGATCTAGCATTAATAAGTATCTTTTCAAGTTAGGAGTAAAAGGTTTTGCCATTACCTCGTTATTGATCAGGGTATGAAGCCAGTCAATTCGGAACAGATATTGTAGTTCTGTCATGAAAAGTGATGAGGGAGGAGGGGAGGCAGGGGGGGTCAAGTTGGCTCCAGACTTGTAGTATGGTCTTTTGTCTTACTGCCACCACTATTTTACTGAATTTCTTATTTGAGTAGTGGTGATCAGTGATAGGACACAGTAGTGTACTTACCTTACCCGGGGACCGGCCGAGGTCCTCTCTTCCTGCCGCGTGCGGCTCTCCGATGAATGCGGGCACGGACCTCGAGATGAGGTCACGTGTCCCGCCTAGCTCTAAGAGTGTGCCGCTCGTCTCGGGCACGCTCTCAAAAGGGGCAGTGGGAGCCAAAAAATACAACAGTCTCCCATTGGCCCCTGTCATCCCACATTCCCCATACACTCACATTTTGGGGGCGTGGATATGACAGGGGCCAATCAAAGTAAAGGTTAGGGTATTTATACTTACCTCTCCCTTAACTCCCTGCCCTATCGTGGTTTCTGTTTCAGTTCCCTTTAGCGCTTGTTGTGTTCAGTTGTGATTTTCGTGCTTGACCTTGGCTTTGTATCTGACTCCGTTTATTTCTTTATCCCTGTTTTGTCTTGTTTGCCGGCTTACTGACTACTGTGTACCAGACCTTGGCTAGTTTTTGTTCTCACAGTCTCTTTGTTCCCTTGACCTTGGCTCGTTCTTGACTCTGTCTATTCTCTGCTATCCGGCAAGTCCGGCCATTCTAAGGTCCGGTAAGACGTATCTGCTCTATCTGTCGATTGTTGGACTAAATCTTCCGTGTTGGGGTAAACTACCGTGACATTACGATAGGGCCGTGGACCCCGCAGATTTAAGTCAGCAATTGGCTTCTCATGAGGCTAGATTTTTTAGAGCAGGATCACCGTATGGATCAGCTAGCTCAGGCCCTCCAGACCCTCTTATCTAGAACTACTCCGGTAACCGTACCAACTCCTACTGCACCCCTTGTTCCAGATGTACCCACCATGCCTAATGCTTCTACACATTTAACCCCTCCAACTAGGTATGGAGGGGATGCTAAGACATGCGGGGATTTATTAATCAAGTGGAATTCCACTTTGAGATGTATCCACGTTCCTTTCCCACTGATAGATCTAAAGTTGGAATCCTTATGCACCAACTTACTGATAAAGCATTTGAGTGGGCAAATCCTATTTGGGAGGCTAATGGTGCATGATTTCGATAGCTTCCTTACGGCTTTTCGTAGAACCTTTGACACAACTAAAAGGTCAAAGAATGCCGCCAGGGCATTAATGAGAATTAAACAGGGTTCTAGGTCTGTTGCTGATTATGCTACTCAGTTTCGTACCCTTGCTTCGCAGGTAGATTGGACCAACAATGGGCTAACTACAGAATTTATGGAAGGTCTATCTGATACTATATTGGATGAGGTAGCAGCTAGGGATCTTCCTATCCCATTAGAGGACCTTATTGACTATCTTATTGATATAGACAATAGGATTCGTGATAGACTCTATACTAAGAATAGGAATAGACGTTTTGCTACATTAAATACTCCTAGAGTTGCTAATCCTGAGAGTTCTAAGGTATCAGAGGAGGAACCCATGCAATTAGGGGTTGCCAAACTCACTGATGCTGAAAAATTGTATAGGAGAAAGGAGGGACTTTACCTGTACTGTGGTAGGAAGGGCCATATGCTAAAAGAATGACCCGTGCTTCCGGAAAACTATCGCACCTAAGGCCATATAGGGGACTGGCCTTGGGTGTGATATCTAAGTCCCCAAAATTGCCTCTTAATTGACTACTTCTCCCTGTTCTCTGCATCTGGAGAATAATTGCATAGCAAGAAACATACTAGCCCTGGTTGATTCCAGGGCAGCTGAGAATTTCATAGATTCTAGATTTGTTAGGAAACACAACATACCCATTAGAGAGAAGAAGACACCCTTGGCCATTGAGGCCATAGATGGTAGACCATTATGCTCCCCAGTTATCACACATGAAACCGAACCGTTGCATATGTAAACAGGGATGTTACAATCAGAAACCATTCGGTTTCAGGTCATCACCTCTCCTTCCTCTCACATTGTGTTAGGGTACCCATGGTTACGTTCTCACTATCCCATTTTTGACTGGGAGTCAGGACAAATAGTATCTTGGAGTGAAACCTGCCAAGAGTCTTGTATCGTTAAAATCACCCCTTTAAATTCTACAAATGTTCCTACTACTCCTCCTTTGTCTTCTGTTATACCTCCTCAGTACATGTGTCTTAAGTCTGTCTTCGATAAAAGGGCTGAAAAATTACCGCCTCATAGACCCTACGATTGTGCTATTGATATATTGCCTGGCACTATATCTCCCAAAAGCAGGGTGTATCCTTTGTCTCCTCAAGAAAACCGTGTCATGGAGGACTATATTAAAGAATCTCTACAAAAAGGATTTATAAGGAGATCCTCTTCTCCGGCAGGGGCAGGGTTCTTCTTTGTGTCGAAGAAGGAGGGCGATTTAAGACCTTGTATTGATTATGGAGGTCTAAATAAAATCACCATAAAAAATGCTTACCCTATACCATTAATCACGGAATTATTCGACAGGCTTAAACAAGCTACTGTGTTTACTAAACTGGACCTTAGAGGTGCGTACAATCTCATACGTATAAAAAAGGGCCATGAATGGAAAACTCCATTCAATACTAGGAGTGGTCATTACGAGTATACCGTGATGCCATTTGGTCTTTGTAACGCCCCAGCAGTTTTTCAAGAATTTATTAATGACGTCTTACGAGAGTTCATTCACTCATTTGTGATAGTGTACTTGGACGATATATTAATATATTCAACAGATTTACATACTTATCACATGCATGTTAAAACAGTTTTGAAAACCCTTCTTGTTAATGGTCTTTATTATAAACTAGAAAAAGGTTTGTTTGATCAATCCGAAGTCCAGTTTTTGGGTTATATAATTTCTGCTAAGGGTTTTCGTATGGATCCCCAGAAGCTTTCTGCTGTCATGGAATGGCCTCTACCTCAGGGCCTGAAAGCCATTCAGCGTTTTCTTGGTTTTTCCAACTATTATAGACGCTTTATTAAAGGTTTTTCTTCTATTGTAGCGCCTATAACCCGTATGACTAAAAAGGATGGTAATACTCGTGACAGCATCCTGTCCCTTCTTTGCCTTATATTCTTGAAGTTGATGCTTCTGATATTGGGGTGGGTGCTGTCTTATCTCAAATAGAATCACCTGATAAGCCATTACATCCTTGTGGCTTCTTTTCCAAGCAAATGTCCAAAGCCGAAAAGAATTATGACATAGGCAATCGAGAACTCCTTGCTATTGTTTTAGCACTTAAGGAATGGAGACATCTTTTAGAGGGTACTAAGGACCCCATCCTCATTTTTACTGATCACAAAAACCTTTCCTACCTTAGTGAAGCCAAAAGATTGTCTTCTAGGCAGGCCAGGTGGTCACTGTTTTTATCTCATTTCAATTATATCATCACCTACAAACCAGGTGAACGTAACACTAAAGCCGACGCTCTGTCCAGACAATTTGAAACTACCGACAAACAAGAGTCCCCCAGACAGAATAATAGCTACTACGGTTCTATCTATTTCTTCTTCACTCTTACAGGTTATACAGGCTAAACAAAACATGGCACCCAGTGAGAAACCTGCTGATAAACTGTTTGTTGACGTTCCCGAAAGACGAGACATTATGTTGCTATATCATGACACCAAAACTGCTGGACATCCTGGTATTTCTAAAACCTTAACAGCAGTTTCTAGATATTTTTGGTGGGCTTCCTTACGCAAGGATGTCACCGAATACGGTCGGGCATGTACTATTTGTGCCAGTATGAAGTCTTCTCATAGAGTTCCTTGTGGGTTGTTGCACCCGTTGCCCATACCCGAGAGGCCTTGATCCAATCTATCCATGGATTTTATTGTTGAATTGCCTCCTTCGAATGGCAAAACAGTCATCCTGATGTTAGTGGATCGATTTTCTAAGATGGCTCATTTTGAGTCTATTGTTAAATTGCCCTCATCCAAGGAACTTGCTTATATCTTCACCAGGGAGGTGTTTCGGTTGCATGGTATTCCTGTATCTATTGTATCCGATAGGGGTAGCCAATTTATTTCCAGATTCTGGAGAGCATTTTGTTCAGAGATGGGTATATCTCTCTCGTTTTCCTCCGCTTACCACCCCCAGTCTAATGGAGCTGCTGAACGTGCAAACCAGTCCCTAGAGCAGTATCTTCATTGTTTCGTATCCCACCATCAGAACAATTGGGCTGACCTGCTTCCTTGGGCTGAGTTTGCTCGTAACAATGCTGCTAATGAATCTTCTGGCAAAAGTCCTTTCTACGTTGTTTATGGGCGGCATCCTGTTGTTCTTCCAGCTGCATTCTCCTTACAGGGCATGCCAGCTCTGGATGAACATTTGGCTGGTTTATGTACTACTTGGGAGCAGGTTCAGTGTTCTTTGGCGGACCCCGCTGCTCGCCAAAAGGTTCAAGCTGACAAGCATCGCAGGGCGGCTCCATCCTATGTCGTGGTGGATAGGGTTTGGCTTTCCACTTGCAATATCCGCCTTTGTGTGCCTTCTATGAAGTTGGCTCCCCGTTTTATTGGTCCTTTTCGTGTTTTGCATAGAGTCAATCCTGTTTCATATGCCTTGGATCTTCCTAGGAACCTACGTATTCCTAACGTCTTTCACACCTCCTTGTTGAAGCCCCTCCTGTGTAACCGCTATACCCAGCATGTTCCTCCTCCCCCTCCTGTTTCTGTGGAGGGTCATGAGGAATTCGAAGTAGCTTGTGCTTGACTCTCGTTTTCTCAGGGGTCGCCTCCAGTACCTGGTGTATTGGAAGGGTTATGGCCCTGAGGAACGCAATTGGCTTTCCGCTGATGCTGTTCATGCTCCTCGCCTTGTGCGTTCCTTCCATTCTCGTTTTCCTGCCAGGCCTGGTGGGCGTGTCTTCAGGGGGGGTACTGTAGCGGTACTTACCTTACCTGGGGGCCGGCCGAGGTCCTCTCTTCCCGCCGCGCGCGGCTCTCGGATGAAGGCGGCCATGGACCGCGAGATGCTGTCACGTGTCCCGCCTAGCTCTAAGAGTGTGCCGCTCGTCTCGGGCATGCTCTTAAAAGGGCTGTGGGAGCCAAAAAATACAATGGTCTCCCATTGGCCCCTGTCATCTCATTGACCTTGGCTTTGTATCTGACTCCGTTTATCTCTTTATCCCTGTTTTGTCTTGTTTGCCGGCTTACAGACTACTGTGTACCAGACCTTGGCTAGTTTTTGTTCTCGCTGCCTCTTTGTTCCCTTGACCTCGGCTCGTTCTTGACTCTGTCTATTCTCTGCTAGCCATTCTAAGGTCCGGTAAGACGTATCTGATCTGTCGATTGTTGGACTAAATCTTGCGTGTTGGGGTAAACTACCATGACAAGTAGTAAGATTCAGGTCTAAGAGAAAGGTTTGACAGATTGTGTTTGATTAAGTAATGAGAGATTTCCTCTTAGAATTTCCAAATCACTGGGCACTACCAGAAACAGTGTTGCATGTGTGACTTTTCAGCAGGACATTTAAACCATTTTGTGTTGGGATTTCTGTTCATGGCACATAGCCAGACAGGAGTGTAGAAGGCATTGTGAAGTATTATGAGGCTCATTTCTTGATAGGAAGACATTGGCAGTAATTTAATTAAAAATGTCTGCCTTCAATATGTCTTCTTTTGTATGTATGATAAAATGTGCTAGCCATTGAGAGATCCTGGTTATATTTGTTTTCCAGTTAGTTATGTGTCGAATGAGAGAGTAGATTGTAGATGTAATGTAGATAGGGGTGGGTGTGATTTGGAGGATGTGGTCGAATAAATTATATCAATCAATGTCGGTAAGGTCTTTTAAGATTTGGAAAGTGTAGAAATGGAGTTGCAGGCATGCCAGGGGAGTGTAAGGCCCGGAAGATGACCTCTCAGCTCTAGAAATGAATATATTGATTATGTTGATTAAATAACAAATTGGTGTAATGTGCTATATTGGTTTGTTGTTCATTGTGTAAAGGGGTATGCAGCCTCCCCTTCTTTAAAACATTGTGTTGTTAAGTAGGGAAGGGTGTATTGTTTTTGTTGGGTGAGTGCCAGGTGTCGGCTTCATCTATTTCCACAATCCTATTGTGGTTGTCAAGACCAACTGCGCTGTGGTTGCTATGATAGGAGAGCAGAGGGACTTCCTGTGGGAGGTCTTTTCTGCTCTCCCTTGTCAGTCAATATTTACTGACAGCTAGGAGAGAAAAACTATTTCTAAAAAGGTTTTACCCCTAATCTATAAATTTGGTATCAAAACTGCTAGCACAATGTATAGATAAAATCGTATGCTCAATCTAATGAGCATAAGTTGTTTGAGGCATGACAGGTGCCCTTTAAAAGTCTTGTAAGTACTGGAAAAAACACTGGGCCTGGGGCTTTGTTGGCTTCCACATTTTTATAGCTGCTATTACCTCTTCCTGTGAGGTCACTTCATTTAACAAGGTTAATTCTATCTTACATGCTTGTCTAAGGACATCTGTTTGTTAGAAATTAGAACTTTATGTGCGTGACTTATCCTGGACCACGCATCGATCACAGAGCTACATATAGTGGAATATAAGGTTTTATACAATTTTCTTTCCAGAAACTAGTGGAACTATGAGAATAGCTGAATTCCTGTTCCTATACAATATGTCGAACTAGATAATTCTGGTTTATTTAATTTGTCAAGGCAATTCCATCGATCCTGGAATTACAATCCTGGGATTACAAAACACCATAGTTCAGTAATAAATATTATTAATGCTGGAAGTTACAATGTCACAACCAATACACTCAGCACAAGCAGGGATGTTAGGAGAAGACTTGCAACTCTAGTTCCCCAGAAACAATAATTCCAACAGATCTTCAGTCCAATGGGTGATACAAGAGAAACCCAACCAGCCATTAAAGACAGATTCACCAACATTTCGAACCAATAAAGTCTTAACTTGCCTATGGTAAGTAGGTTATACTAAGTTGGTACATAATGACTGATAGTTCCACTAAAGTGTCAATTACCCTTCTTTGCAGGACTGTGATCAAAGAAACATGAGAGTTTAATGTAAGGTGTAAGGGCATTCTCTAATGCTCAAGGTGTTGTCTAAATAGATTAAAAAGCTTGGAACATGGTGCTTCAATATCATTGACAGTAAATTAGCAGCCATTTGCGTGTTAAAAAATAGTGTTTGTGAGATTGAAATTCACATTCTTATCTAAAAAATAAATAACTTTAATTTTAAAAAACAAAATTAAGAAATTGTCACATTTGAAGTTCTGGCATTTGCTGGGAGGTCCGCGGATTCAGGTCATGACATCGTGTATTAATTAAAATAAGAATTTCTGGAGTATAATAGAAACACTACAGGTTGGAAGGGTGTGCTTGGAGCAAAATTATTATTTTAAAAATTATTAAAATTATTATTATTGAATGAAAAAACAAGATTAATAAAATTAAAAACAGCAAACATTAAAACTAACTGCGACCCAATCTATCCATTGCACCTATAAATGTGGGTACCTTGAGTATTCCGTGATTAGTTCAATCTCTGTTATGTGATGCCAGGGATGGCACGAAAACATTTAAATTATATCCTGTTAATTCCAAGCCTGCTCATGGGCAGTGGCGTACTAAGGGGGGTCGGGCTGCCCCGGGTGCCACTCACTAAGGGGGTACTATGACCGGCGGCCGTAGGACGTGTGAGCTGTGCGGCAGGGACAGGTTGCCATGGCAGCCGCACAGCTCAAACATGCAGGCAGCCACAGAACTTCAAACCCGACCACATCTAAGAAAAAATGGGAACGTGGCTAATTGCCAGCAGTGGAGGCGGAGCTAAACACAGCCACCACTGGCTGCTGTTACTGCTGCACATCGAGGGGAAGCAGGATGGAGCCCCTGCTTCCCCAACTAACAGACTCCAGGGACTTCATGGGATCCACTCCTCCAACCCATACTGTCTGTAACTAAGAAAGAGAGAGTGTGTGTGTGTGTTTTGACTGTCTGCCTGTGACTCTGTGTGTCTATGTGTGACTGCCTGTAACTGTGTTTCTGTGTGTGTGTGACTGCCTGCCTCTAACTGTGTGTGTGACTGTCTGCCTGTGACTGTGTGTGTGATTGTCTACCTGTGACTCTGTCTATGAGTTTCTGCCTGTGACTGTCTGTGTGTGACAGTGTGCTAATATTGTTGTATAAAAAAATGAATTCTATTGTAAGGGGCTGAGCAGGGGCTTTAGAGGGAGAGGCAGGTTTATTTGTGGAAAGGGGGTATAGGAGTTTTATGGAAGGAGGGTGCAGGGATTTGTTTAAGGGGGGGTGAGCAAGGGATTTGTGGAAGGTGGTTGTTGTTTTTTTTTTACATTTTAAAGTGTGTGTGTTTTACGGGCTGAGGTGCCAAACACAGGACCAGCCCGTGTTGCCAAATGCTCTAGGTACGCCCCTGCTCATGGGAATAAAGATTTAGGTTTAAACAACATTACCTGCGTAAGGGAGTTTAGCTTATCTTGTGGCATCTGTATGAATCAGATCGTGTTCTCTAAAGTGCGCTGTTTTGGGATTAGAAAAGTAAGCATTACAGATTCCTTTTAACAGCATGAGAATTGGCTGCAGAACTGTAGTTAACAGCCAGACTTTACCTTACCCCTTTTACTTATACAGTTTCAATGCATGAGTCACTTAACAGCACCACCTCCTGGCCAATATGCTAACTTTAACAAACAGCCCTGTGATACAACCTCTCATTATTGTAACTCAATGTCTTTTATCGTTTTTAAAGTTTTTGCATACTTTACTACATTATTTATGCAATACATTAAAAAAATTGAGGCCACTTCCACCATATTGGGTCACTTTAAGAAAGGAGTCAATGGTGAATATAGAATCAGAAGACTTTCGACCCTTGCAGTACAAATGATGATTTAATATAATAAATATGAACGCGTATGACTGCCATGGAGCTCGCCAAAGTAAATGAGGGTCATTCATATGGAACAGATTGTAATTTTCAATATATGCTGTATAGTATTGTGCTGGAAAAAAATAAGTAGTTTTAGGTACAGTGATGCTTAAGGCCACTGGGGCATAGCAAAACATTTAGAAATGTATATGTAGGACAGTTGTTGGTGACCCATGACCCACAGTGAAAGATTTACATGTCAGGTGACTATAGGCTAAGAATTCTAAGGATCATCCTGTTCTCACTCCATAAAGGTAAGTTGAATAAATGTATTAACTAGACTTTGCAGGCATAAAAAGCATCTAAAAATACATATATGCATATCTGACAAATATTTGACAATTGCATATGTCCATGTATGTGCATATTGTGCTTTGTAATGTATTATGTTTTCATCTCTGAGTATAGTGAGTGAACGCAGCAGTGTAAAGGCACACAGGGTTAAAGGTTAATTTCAACCAGAAGAAGTGTTAGTAAATGTGAAAATTGCCATTACGGTTGGATTTCGGGCCGTGTTCATCAGATTTTGTCCATCACAGTATTTGGAGACACTGCAGGCAGAGTGATTGAGACCTGTATGGAAATGGAAGAGGGCAGGGGGTTAGTACCTGCTTGGAAGAAGGAGCAGGCTTAATACCTGCCTTAAAGATATGGTGGTTCCTGGGGACCCTGAAGAAGGACAGCACAGCAGGACAGGTTTGGATCCCAACCTAGGAACCAGTTTCCATGTTCCGGTTACAATGACCCATTAAAGAGAAATCACCCCTTTTAAAAAACCTGTGTATGCAGAGTCCAACTAAAGTTGTAACAATATTAATGCTAATAATATTTTTGTTTTAATGAAATTATTTTGTTTAGATAAAACAACAAATAAAATATTAGGCTAAAATATCTACTGTTTGCTGAATGAGAACCTGATGTTTGTAAATCTAAAAGCTTACACTTTAATTTTTCCACCAGATGACACGCAACTAAACATTATTCAAAAGTGTAAGTATAGATAGGGAGGACAAACGGAGGACAAATTTGACCTACATTGAGGTTTGCCTGGGCACACCTTGTACACCCTTTGTATGCCTATGATGGATATCTGAGCTCGATGTAGGTAGGCTGGAGCTAATGAAGATAAACGATCTCGCAGCTCCACGTACCCTGAGGCAATCTGCTGCCTTTATCTCTAGAAATCTACTCTAGAAATCCACAGAAACCAATTTAAAAAGCTAGAATTTTCTATAAGACTAAAGATCCCCAACATTTCTTGGGCCTACACATAGCATGGAAATAGAAGCACAATGATTCTCCTAGAATTTGAGAATTGACTGGTCTTCGGTTACATTAATATATCTGCAGTGTTCTGAAAACATTACACAGCTAGAGCCATTTGTTATGAGTTTGCTCTAAGCTATGCACAGACAAAAGGAAATTGATTAGTTCCATTCATCTTAGGAATGATCTTTTTATTAAGTATGGGTAGACCAACTACAACACCTCAATCAGATAAAACAGCTCTCCAGGAATGCAGATCGCCTTTGGCCTTAAGGGATGGTTTATTTTTTGTGGATTTATCAGATGTACATTAGATGACAAGAAAAACAAGGGGTTTATCTAATACGGCAATAAATGTTCTTAATTATGTCAACAATGAAATGTATGTTCTGGAGTTCCATCTATATAGTAATCCGGTCCAGAAGTTAAATATATATATATATATATATCTATCAATTCAAGTTTTGTTTTGTTAAGGAACAGTAGATTATGTAGATTTAGGATAAGACTTATAACACATATTTCCAAATGTAAAAGTAATATTCTATCAGCTGAGATAGTGTTACTAGTTATAAACGCACATTCTTCTATGGGGTGTATGAACACAATTTACGATAAGAAGCAATGAAAGAGGGGTGCATATGGGATATTGGTCCCATGTATGGATATAAAACATCCTTAAATCACTATCCATCCATTATTTTTACAGGTTTTCTAATTATTATTTGGCCTATCCCTGATTTCCTTTTTAAACAAATCAGATAAGCATACAACACGTGCACACGGTTCTCATTCATTTTAGTGGAGATATGTTAGGTATGTACTGCAGTGAGTGTTCAAACTCACAACTGCTGCTTTTGCAATATGTAATATGCTATACCGTTTTCCTTAAATGTGTTTGAGTCAGTAGGTGCACATATTCACAAGATGCCTTGTTCCATATGTGCATTCTGGGTGATGCAGAGATATTCACAGGACATTCTAAATGTGTGTTGGATTGTAGGGGCTGCTAGCCAGGATGAATAAAAATCGATTATGAAATTATTATTTTTTTTAAATAGATTTTTTTAAATTTAAATCTGGTTATCATTTATATTCAAATCAGTTTTCTTTTAATAAATTGTTTTTGGAGGAAAAATCAGTCTAATGATAATTTTCTATTTAAGATACAATATAGTCTAAGGTTATTCAGCATGAAATAGGGATTATTTATGTAGCATGTGGCTGGGTATTCATGTAATATTTACATTTTTGATAAATTAATTCAATTAAAGTTCATTGAACGTGTGTCTGTAGCGATAACATGCACTTCTGACAGAAAATTAATATACAAAGTTCAAAAAAATACTTTAATCCCATTGTTATTCTGCAAATTTATGTACACACAATGAACACCCTACCATAAAGTAGACATGTGCAATTCGTTTCGTTCCGAATGTAAATTCCAATGAATTTCAGCAATTCGGACATTCAGATGCATCTGAATTGCCGAATTTCTGGAGTGCTGAAGTGCTTTGGATTTCTGAAAGGTGGCAAAACAAGAGAGGAAGGGCAAATTATGGGAATAATGACAGGAATCTAACCCTTACCCTAACACTACCCTAACCCTAACCCCAACCCCTACCATAGATGTGTAAATGGTTGTGGTGGTTAGTGGTAGGGTTAGGGTTGGGGGTAGGGTTAGGGTTGAGAGTAGGTTTGGGGTTGGGGTGAGGTTAGGATTGGAGGTAGAGTTAGGGTTGGGTGTAGGGATTAAAGGACCACTATAGTGCCAGGAAAACATACCCGTTTTACTGGCACTATAGTGCCATGAGGGTGCCCCTCGGGGTCCCCCTCCCGCCGGGCTCTAGGGGGTGGAAGGGGTTAAACTTATCTCTTTCTCCAGCGCCGGGCGGGGGACTCTCCTCCTCCTCTCCTCCGCCTTGGCTGAATGCGCATGCGCGGCAAGAGCCGCCCGCGCATTCAGCCAGCCAGTCTCATAGGAAAGCATTTACAATGCTTTCCTATGGACGCTGGCGTCTTCTCACTGTGATTTTCACAGTGAGAAGCACGCAAGCGCCTCTAGCGGCTGTTAATGAGACAGCCACTAGAGGCTGGATTAACCCTAACATAAACATTGCAGTTTCTCTGAAACTGCCATGCTTATAGAAAAAAGGGTTAATCCTAGCTGGACCTGGCACCCAGACCACTTGATTAAAGGACCACTCTAGGCACCCAGACCACTTCAGCTTAATGAAGTGGTCTGGGTGCCAGGTCCAGCTAGGGTTAACCCATTTATTTTATAAACATAGCAGTTTCAAAGAAACTGCTATGTTTATGAATGGGTTAAGCCTTCCCCCATTCCCTCTAGCGGCTGTCTCATTGACAGCCGCTAGAGGCGCTTGCGTGCTTCTCACTGTGATTTTCACAGTGAGAGCACGCCAGCGTCCATAGGAAAGCATTGTGAATGCTTTCCTATGCGACCGGCTGAATGCGCGCGCAGCTCTTGCCGCGCGTGCGCATTCAGCCGACGGGGAGGAACGGAGGAGGATCGGAGGAGGAGAGCTCCCCGCCCAGCGCTGGAAAAAGGTAAGTTTTAACCCCTTTTCCCCTTCCAGAGCCGGGCGGGAGGGGGACCCTGAGGGTGGGGGCACCCTCAGGGCACTATAGTGCCAGGAAAACGAGTATGTTTTCCTGGCACTATAGTGGTCCTTTAAGGAATTGCAGAAGTCCCGAATTTTGGAAGTGCCGAACTGAACCGAAGTGCCAAAGTCCCGAATTGCCAAAGTCTCGAATTTCAGAAGTGCCGAACCAAACCAAATTTTTTGCCCATGCACATCCCTTCCATAAAGGGTTACTCCAAGTACCATGACCACGTCAGCGATTTGAAATGGACATGATGCCTAGAGTGGCTATGTGCAGTTTTTCAGTATGAAGCTCTGCACACAGGGCCGGCGCTACCATTAAGGCGAATTAGGCATTCGCCTGGGGCGCCGACCTGAAGGGGGCGCCCACCTGGAGGTTTCTGGGTGGGCTGCTCCTGTGGGTGGGCAGCGGGATTCTTTTGCCTGGGGTCGGAGCGCTGGGTAAGTGGCTGTTTAGCCAAACCCCAGCGCAGCCATATCCTGTGCTCCCTCTGCCTCCCTGATGCTGCAGAGCCGATCATCTGCTCAGGGAGAGGGGATCTGTTGAATCCCCAGCACCCGAGCAGAGCACTGTGCTTCCTGCAGGCAGGGGAAGCTGGGATGTGACCTGGTATCCTGGCTGCCCCCTGCCTGTGAACACAGGAATCACAGTGAAGGAGCAGGAAGCAGCCTGTGCTCACTGTGCGGCTCTCCTGCTCCACCAGGAACCAGGGCAGATACCTGCAGGCTGAAATATGATCCCCTTCTCCTCCAGTCACATCACTAGCACAGGTATGGCATCACTGGAGGATAAGGGGAGATGGTTATTATTGTGTGTGTGTATGTTTGAACATTGGTGTGTTAAGTTTGTTTGTGGGTGTGTGTTTTAATAAACTGACTATATGTAAACTGGTGTGAGTGACATAGTTTGTGTGTATTTCAGTGAGAGTGTGTGTGTGTTAGTGAGAATGTGACATAGTGTTTGTTTGTGTGTATGTGTGTGTTTGTCAGTAAGAGTGTGTGTGTGTGTGTGTTTGTGTGAGATGGTGTAAGTGTGTGTGTGTGTGTGCCAGTGAGTGTGTGACCAGTTATATTTCTAATACATTAATATAATTATATATATTATATTTAAAAAATTTTTTTACTTACAGTGTGCCTTTCAGACAAGTTCCCTGTCGCACACATTAAATACCACCATTATCATAAACTTGTTATAATAAATAAATGTGTTATAACAACCATAAATGTATACAATGTAAAATGTATATGTATTAGGCAGTATGTGCATATGGATGAATGTATTAGGCAGTGTGTGTATAATGGCCAGTGAGTGTGTATGGTTGAATGTATATATTAGGCAGCGTGCGTGTACAGTTGTATGTATTGGCAGTCTGTGTGTGTGTGTGTATGGATGTATGTATGTATTGGCAGTGTGTGTGTGTTCATATTGGACAGTTTATTTTTTCCCCCCTAAATGTCTGCTCACTGTGTCTCTCCTAAAATGTTTCCTAGTCTGTATCAGTTTCCTAAAAACCTCAACAATCTCTCTATCCCTTTCCTAATTGCCTTCCCGGTCTGTTCCCTTTCCCTAAATTTATCACTGGTCTCTCTGCTTTCCCTTAGACACTTAGGTGTCTATTCACTAAACAGTGATTTGAAAAAGTTGAGATGACTTTATACAACTCTTCTGTTTTGGCCTAAATGTTTCAAGTTATATGTCAACTCACTGTTTAATGAATAGACAGGGAAAAGAAAAGAAGAGAAATTGACAGAAGATAATTACCGGATTATTCACTAAAGTGAGAATTGTAAGTGTAAGAGCAGAGTAGCCGAATCTAGGGAATGTTAACGGGTGTTTTGACCATAAATTAGAAGTTCAATTTGAATTCCCAACAATTCTCACTTTATTGAATAACCCTATTGGAATAAAGAGAAACAGGCTGGAGAGAATCAGTTGCATAGAGTGAGCAGATAAATCGTGAACATAGAGACTGCAAGCTTTTGGAAACAGAAACAAAGGAGAAAGCTGTGGATAAACACTAATGAGAGAGATTGGGCACTATGGAGGAAAGGGACAGCTGATCAGACCTAATTAAAAACCAAATGGCAAAATTTATACCATTTAGAAGAATTCGCCAACTCCGCTACAGTCACAGTTCAGCTATTTTTGCTTAAACTATGCAATTCGATTTCCAATTCACTGAATTCATAGTTTTGTGAATAAACTTCTGAGAGAGTGTAGTTGCATTCAAGAGGGGGCGGCAAAATGGATCTTTGCCTAGGGCGGCAAGAATCCTTGCACCGGCCCTGTCTGCACATACTGAGAAATTATATTGCTGTCAGGGGTGGAGCTAGCTCCAGGTTGACTAATGCATATTCTTTGTCAATGCATATTCCTTGGCTGAAATCACACACCTGACACTCTCAGCCAATGAATGAGGGGTGGATCGGTATTTGCAGCTCTGCAGAAGCCTGATGCGCATCACCTAGCATCAAAGAAGGTTTGGTGCATTTTTTGGGGGTCGGGTGGGGTGGTTTAAAAGATATTTTGTATAACCAGTCAGTCAGTTAACAAACATTAAGGTTTTAAACAAACACAAGAATATCTATGCTATATAATGTAATTGTTTTAGTCAAATAAAAACTGTTTAAGTTGTATATGAGTGATTAACCTATTAAACTGGAGATAGTTCACCATGCAATAAGTTTATCATTACCTATCTAGTATAAATAATGGTTTACAACAAAATTGGTTCTGGTATAACAGTTCAATTAATCTGAAATACAACTATTGGTAGGGCCTCACCCCTAATCAAATATTAAAAATATAAAATAAATTAAAACAAACATGCAGGTAATTTGGTTATTGGTAGCTCACATATGATTATATGTTTGATAGACTTAACGTGTAACAGGCTGTATTAACAATTATTTTGAGGGGGCTATCCCATTGCCACCTCGTTAAATATAAATATTATGCAGTTTGATCATTAATCTGTTGGATCAGCTAAAGCTTTCATTATGTCTAACACAGTTGTAGAGGTATATACCATTTTACATGTTTTTTTTGGTTAATATATTGACATGAAATTCTTTAAGATATATGACTCTTTCCATGCCCTGCTACCTCCCCATGATTGAAAAATGTCCCACGGTTTGGCCTCTGTCCCAGGAGTCCTCGGATCTGTCCCACATTCCAGTGGTGGAACTACTGACCATATAACCTGTATAGCTACAAACAGAAAAATGACAAGAATTAACTTGTTTCTTTTTTTCTGTGTTGATGGTGTGTGTTAATGTGTGACTGTATGTATCTATGTGTATTAGTGAACACGTGTAGCTGTGTGTGTCTGTGTACATCTTTGTACATACTTGCCACAAAGTGTCTCTGGAAATTATTTTCCATATGGTGTGGTTTCAAAAAAATACAAGTCTAGCAAATAGATTTTTACCAGATCAGATGGAATGTTAATGTATTTGGCCCTATCGTGTGTCCACACAAATTCTGTTTTTAATCATAAACATGGTTTTACTAAATAAAATGTGTTTCTTAAAGAAGTTAATCCAAGTTTACTTAATCCCCTTATTTGGATCATACATATACATTTATTATAAAATATGCACTAGAAAATAATTATTTCGCAAAATTGAAATGTTTCGGCCCACAATATCTGGAGTGCCAAAAGATGCCTAACTTGGAATACACCATTAATATTTAATAATCTGACAGAGTGGGCAGACAAATCTGAACAACCACTTGTTTCCCTAACCACTAAACCCCCTTGCACCATCACCTACAATATGCTGTGGTAAAGGGGATTAGACTGTCCCTTTAAGCATTTAGTGCCTAGTGTTTGTATAAATTCTAGGATCCCTTTAAATGCGTTGTTCACGTCCCTGTAAGTAAATAATGGAATCCCAGTTTCGGAGATCAGACACAGACAGGTGGCATGCCTGAAGCATTGATTTGGTATTCCCTGATAATACTCACGTAACGCTGGTTTTAGTTTTCCATTGTAAATATTTGAATAGTCAAGCTGGTGTTATAAATAAATAAATAAATAAATAAATATAGTAGAGAGTAAATAAGTGTAATGGGTGTACTATGCAAATTTGAAAGTGATACATAAATTATAAATGTGCATATACTACACACACACACAACCAACATAAATAACTAACAAGCATTTTCTCACTCGTCATTACCCTGCCATTAAAGTATCATAGACATTTAAATGTATGAGGTGGTGACACTCTGAGTAGGGATCTGATATCGATACCGATAATCTGTGAACTTTCAGTCCGATAGCCGATAACTTACCGATATTCTGTACATTTACCATTTTGAAAAAAACAAACTATTTCTAAAGGTAAAAACCAAAGGAAAAAAAGTTACCTGCACTCTCTCCTTAATCCCTATGTATATTTAAACAAATGGAGGTCATTTAGTTACTTGAACGTCAAGGCAGACCCCCCTAGACGGGTCCTACTCTGACCCTTTACCTTGCTTCTTTGAGCTTCTGGCAAAAATATCTCTAATGAGACAGAAAGGGGTATTTTTTTTTTTTTAATATTTATTTTTTATTGAAGGTTTTTCAAAGGTAAAGATCCAGTACACAGTTGTTTCATAGTGTATACAACGAGTATTCAGCGGGTTACAGGATAATATATTTGTACTTTAAAGTTATACAGTAACATCATCTGCCTCCGTGTACTATGTAACATTTTATCGAAGCTGGTTTGCAATTACTCTTCAATTGGGTTGGTATTACAATTCAAATAAACGTAACAAAGGTATATACACAAACAAATATACAGGCAAATCATAATAGTTTGTATCCAGCATTTCCTGCGTACTTTGACCATGTCAGCTCACATAAGTCACCGTCCATGTTTCCCTGGGCCGCCCTGACTCTTCTGGGTCCCCTTCTCCCCTCTCACCCTCCCTGGTGTTTCTGTCTCTCATACCATGTCTCCCAGATATTCCATGTGTTTTGGAACCTTTCCGTGGCCCTGGCGTTGTCAGTGGACATTTTCTCGTATATATAGAATTGTTGTATTTTGTCTGCCAATTGGTGGATGGCTGGGCAGCGAGGTGTTTTCCAGTTTAGAGCTATCAGGTTTCTAGCGGCCATTAAAACTATCCCTATCAATTGTGTGTGGTTTTTTTGTGTTGTTTCGGGGAACAACAAGAGTAGGCAGGTCGTTATGTCCATGGGGAAGTCTCTAATGCCGAGATCTTTCAACAGGGTTTGAACATCTCCCCAGATAGGTTGTATCCCTCCACAATGCCACCATATGTGTGGCAGGGTTCCCTCTTCCACACCGCATCTCCAACATTTGGTGGAAACGTCTGGGTACATTCTGTGTAGTCTGGTGGGTGTCATGTACCACCTATATAGTAGTTTGCGATGCGCTTCAATATGTGAGTAGCACTTGGTCCACTTTTTTATCCCATTTAGGGCCAGCATCCACCTTTCCTCTGTCATGACTGTCCCCCTCTCAGTCTCCCAGTGCTGTTTGCATGTCATCGGTTTTTGTGGTGCTAGGTCAAGCCATGCTTTGTAGCAAAGTGATAGGGCTTTGGGTTTCATCGGGGCTGTCCAGCATCTGTGGGGTATCAGTCTCGCTGCTACCGCAGGAGTAGGCCCAGTGTGAGGTGTGCCCTTGACGTGTGTGTTTATTGTGTTTTTCAGTTGTAAGTAGGGAAAGATATCCCTCTCCGGGACCTTCCATCTGTCTCTGATGGCTGGGAAACTCATGATCGTCTGGTCTGTACACAGTTGTTGGATTTGGGATATACCTAAGCGTGACCATCTGTTTAGTGGGATCGTAGGATTCACTGCATGTAGTGCAGTAAGGGGAGCTTCAGGGTGGAAGTGTTTCCTCCAGCCCAGGGAGGACATAAAGTCGTCCCATACTCTGACCGTTGCGAGTGTGGTGGGGTATAGAGTTACTTTGGGGCCTCTTAGTGTTCTCGGCGTCCATAGGTAATTAAGCAGTGAGGTGTGCTTAAGTTGGTCTTGTTCCATATCCACCCACTGTGTTACCCCCTTTTGGGCGTGTATGTGTATACTCGTTGCTAGGATAGAGGCTTTGTAATAGAGTCCAATGTTGGGCATGCCTATACCCCCCGTTTGGGTCGTCCGTTGTAGGAGACCTAGGGGCAGCCTGGGTTTCTTACCCCCCCAGATGAAGGAGTTGCATATGGCTTGTAACGATTTGTGGATAGCGGCTTGGATGTCTATTGTGAGCATGCGGAATATATATAGTAACCTTGGCAAAAGCATCATCTTATATGCATTCACTCGGCCCAGCCAGGACAATTTTGCGTTCTTCCATTTATGTATTTCTGTGGTGCATAGATGTATGAGGGGCTTATAATTAAGCTTTACTATGTTGCTAATAGGAGCGGCGATTTTAACCCCTAAGTACGTTATAGATGTTGTTCGCCAGTCTAGTTCAAAGGAGTTCTTAAGGGTAGTTACATTTGGCCCTGGTAGGTTTATCGGTAGGGCTTGTGTTTTCTCCTTATTCAGACGGTAGTATGATATTCTACCATAGTCTGTCAGTAGAGTTAGTAGAGGGGGCAGCGATTGTTCTGGATTTGAAAGCGCCACGAAAATATCGTCCGCAAACATTGCCAGACAATATTCCCTGTCCCCCAGTGTGATACCGGTTATGGCCTGGTGTTGTCTTATCTTCCAAGCCAAGGGCTCCAGGGAGAGTATGTATAGCAGGGGGGATAGTGGGCAACCCTGGCGTGTCCCATTCGTAATGTGGAAAGTGCGTGACAGGAAGCCCCCATGGGAGACCTTAGCACTGGGTCGTGCGTACAGAGCCAGGATTCCCCTGATAACCTCTTCGGGGAACTGATACTTGCACAGCACTTGTGTCATATATTGCCAGTTAAGTCTGTCAAAGGCCTTTTCGGCGTCCAGCGCCAGGAAAAGACCTCCGATTTGTCCCCTCTCCATTCCCGCTATTATGTTTAGCACTTTCCTCGAGTTATCAGAGCCTTGTCGGCCCCGCACGAATCCGGACTGGTCATTATGTACTAATTTATGTAGCAACGGTGCCAATCTTTCGCTAAATAGTTTTGCGTAGATTTTGGCATCACTATTTAACAATGAAATGGGCCTGAAGTTTTTACATTGATCTGTATTTTTGCCCGGTTTGGGAAGTGTGGAGACATGTGCCATTGTGACTTCTTCTGGCAATGCCCCTTCTGTCATGCAGTGGTTAAATAGAGCGCCAAGAGGTTGCGCTAGGGTGTTAAGGAAGGTGCGGTAATATTTATTGGGCAGGCCATCAGGTCCCGGTGCTTTATGTAGTGGGAGCGTAGAGATCACCGAGGTGATCTCTTCGGTCGTGAAGGGTTTGTTAAGTTGATCCGCCTCCATCTGAGATAGGGTAGGAAGGTCGATTCCTGCCAGGAAAGCGTCAATATCTGCTTTAGAGGGGCAGACTGTCTGTGGGTCATCTTTCAGATTATATAATTTTTCATAATAATGGGCGAATTCGTCCACTATCCCCTGTGGGTTTAAAATTAAGGTGCCCCTGGAATCCTTGATGGAGGCAATTTTTGAGTTAGCCGTCCTCTGTTTCAATTGGGCAGCCAGCCGCGCTCCCGCTTTGTTGCCTGTAGCAAAAAAGCTGTGTTTAAACTTGCGCATGAGGGATGTGGTTTTGGCCAGTTCCAAATCTCTGAGCTGCGATTGTAAGCGCAATAGTTCGGTATGTGTGGCTGCTGTGGGGGTGTGTTTGTTGGTGTGAGTTAGGGAGGTTAGTTCAGAAAGTATGGCTGTGTAAGCTTCTAGTCGCTTTTTTTTTTGCGTAGCTGGCGTGCTTGATGAAGCTGCCTCTTATGAAAGCTTTATGCGCCATCCATATTTGGGGTAGAGGTGAGTCTGGGGTTTTGTTTTCTTTAAAATAAAACTGTAGATCTTGTTCTATTTGGTTAACTATGGCAGGGTCAGCGAGTAATTGTTCATTGAGTCTCCAACTGCCTCTTCCTGAGTTGGGGAATTGTTCCCTAAGCTGTAGTGTAATAGGGGCATGGTCCGACCATGTAATAAGGCCTATGTCTGTGCGCTCAACCTTTATGATGGAGGAGGTGCGGATCAAAAACCTATCTATTCTCGAATAAGTCTTATGCGCTGCTGTGTGGCATGTGTAGTCCCTCTCTGTGGGATGGGTGACTCTCCATGGGTCTACAAGATTGTGCGGTGTTAGTTTGTTGCATATTTGTGTGGCTAGTTTGGACCTGCTCTTTAGTGTTTGTGCAGTCAATTGGGGACCTCCTGATGAGTCTAGGTCACTGTCTAGTAAGAAATTCGTGTCACCCCCAATGATCACTTCCCCAAGTGCGTGAGCAGACATCAAACCAAGCAGTACATCAACAAAGTTACATTGGTTAACATTGGGTCCATAGACATTAATTAAGGTATAGACATTATTATTTAGGGAGCATTGCAATATTAGGTACCTTCCCTTTTTATCTCCTATTTTGCGTATTAGGGAGAAGGCCACATCTCTGCCAATAAGGATGGATACTCCTCTTTTTTTTTTGGAGTAACATGAGTGAAAATCTATGGGATACTGTGGGGAGTTAAACTTCGGTCTGTTACCCCATTGGAAGTGCGTTTCTTGGAAGAGCATTACGTGGGCACCTAATGATTTTGCTTCGCGCAGTGCTAGGCGGCGCTTGTGAGGGGAATTCAGCCTTTTAGTATTTAGGGAGCATATTTTAAGTACCATCTGACATGTGGTGTAGTCTGTGGCTACTCGGGGGGAGACAGGGTGCTCTTCCAACATTAGGTTCCCTAATGGGAGGTAATTGTATAGCTAACCTGTTGGTGCCAGATGGTGTTAAGGATGCGGGACATACTGTCTGTGGGGTTTGCCTTATAAAATTAAAAAGGGTTAAAACAATATAATAACTGAACCAATAATCAACTATGTACAGCGTTCCGTTCACTGCGCCTCTGCGGTGCAGTGTCAAATCTAACGGATTCTCTTGTGGCTCTGGGTCGGTAGCCACATTGGGGGTGGTTATTGAAATCAGTTGCAAGGATTTAACAACAAAAATTATCATAGCAATTCTGGGTGGCCTTAGTGGCGCCCTCCCTGGGTGTAGGTAGGCTTTTAGCCCGGCATGGTAATTTGCAAGAAAGGAGCATGTACTATTATAGTCTTTGTATACGACCTGTCCCGTATGCGTACCGTGTGGTCAGCACACGATTGGAAGTTCTGATCCTGCTAGACTTGTCTTTGTGTAGTCTTGGGACGTGGTTGTTTCTTCCATTCAGTGTGGAGTTTGATTGCAGATCTATCCTCCGTAGCTAGCAAGGGGTCATTTGGTACTGGGATGTTCCACTCCAACAGTTGTCTTTTACCGGATTCAGGATCAAGAATCAGGTTGTCTACGCCGTTGCGTTTTACTAGTAACTTGGTCGGGAAGCCCCATTTATACTGTACTTCCGCCGCTCTCAATGCCGCTGTGATGTGGGTAAACGATCGCCTTTTTATCATAGTCGCAGTGGAGAGGTCAATAAATAGCTTGATTTGGGAAAATTGACCTGGGAGCTGACCTTGGCGTCTAGACGCTTGCATTATTCGATCTTTCGTTGTGAAATAGTGTATTCGCGTTATGACGTCTCTCGGTACTGTAGTCGGTAGGTGCTTTGGTCTTGGAAGGCGGTGTGTGCGGTCAAGCAGCAACTCAGTTTCTTTCAATGCTGGAACGTATGCTGTAAATATTTCCTTTACATATTGGGTTAGATCTAGGGAGCCGACTGATTCCGGTATTCCCCGGATTCTAATATTGTTGCGGCGGTCCCGGTCTTCATGGTCTGCCACTTTTGCTTCTAGGCTTTGTACTCTCTGTATTAGGTCGTTGTGTGCCTCTGCTAGGCTATTATGGGCCTCTATAGTTTCCTCTGCTCTCTCTTCCAGACGTGCTGTTCTTTCACCTAAAGCTTGAATGTCAGCCCTGATATCTGTAGCAATTTGTTTCAGGTCTGTTTTGAAGGTGTGCTTTAATTCAGATAGCATGTTCTGTAGTGAAGCATTTGTGGCTGGTGCTTGCATGTCATCTGCAGTGAGGGTAAACTCACCGCCTTCTGAGCATGAGGCTGGGGACTGGGGCTGGTCGGCGCCATTTTGTTCCTCCTGTCCGCACTTCGGCGACGCTATTACTTGCATTTGGAGGGTCTTTTGTTTGAATTTCTTGGCGGACTTTGTGGACATTATGAGGTGGGGGTATGCCCGCTTGTTTGCCGCTCTTGCCGGTGCTTGTATGCTGTGTAGTCACGCTGTAAACACCCGTCGGCGGGAGAGCTCCGAGATCAGGCGACCGCTCTCATTCGCCGCTAAGCCACGCCCCCAGAAAGGGGTATTTTTTATATACACCCCTATATATTTGTTAACCCTTAATAGGGAACACATGGGATGGGCTGCAGCATTGTGACCTAGCTGTGTGATACAAAAAGTGAATACAAATACAAAAAGAAAAGTCCTGCGCTCACTCCCATCACTCCTGGGCGACAGCAACGACTACAGTACACATCAGCTAATACATACAGTAAAAACCAAAGAAAAAAATTACATGCACTCTCTCCGTAATCTCTATGTATATTTAAACAAATAGAGGTCATTTAGTTACGCCAATGGCCACTGGAGGGAATGCCCGCCTGCCAACGTCAAGGAAGACCCCCCTAGACGGGTCCTACTTTGACCCTTTTTCATCAAGGCAGACCCCCCCTAGACGGGTCCTACTCTGACCCTTTTTCGTCAAGGAAGACCCCCCTAGACGGGTCCTACTCTGACCCTTTACCTTGCTTCCTTGAGCTTCTGGCAAAAATATCTCTAATGAGACAGAAAGGGGTATTTTTTATATACACCCCTATCTACTTGTTAACCCTTAATAGGGAACACATGGGATGGGCAGCAGCATTGTAACCTAGCTGTGTGATAAAAAAATGTGAATACAAAAAGAAAAGTCCTGCACTCACTCCCATCACTCCTGGGTGGCAGCAACGACTACAGTACACATCAGCTAATACATACAGTAAAAACCAAAGAAAAAAATGACATGCACTCTCTCCGTAATCTCTATGTATATTTAAACAAATGGAGGTCATTTAGTTACTCCAATGGCCACTGGAGGGAATGCCCGCCTGCCAATGTCAAGGCAGACCCCCCTAGACGGATCCTACTTTGACCCTTTTTCGTCAAGGCAGACCCCCCCTAGACGGGTCAGAGTAGGACCCTGCTAGGGGGGGTCTGCCTTGATGTTGGCAGGTGGGCATTCCCTCCAGTGGCCACTGGAGTAACTAAATTAACACACCTGCCATTCGGCATCCTCTGCCGCACACGTAGACAATGTGGTTGTCTCGTTCTTCTTCTGAGCTGGGAGCTCAACTGGAGGATCAACAAGGTCCCATACAACCTCGCAGAGCTGCGTAGAACCAATACTGTGTTGGGGGCTGGTGGGACATCCCCCCACAGCCCGACTGAATGGTCTTCCTCAGAGACAGCACCATCTGGATCTCACGCTATACTTCCCGATTCTGGGCGTAGGCTGACTGTTCGCTTACCTCGCAGGGCAGTTTCACCACGTAAGCTGTGTACTTACCAGCCTGCTGTTGTGGCTGCCCGGTCTCATATAGCTTTTGAAACCAACAACCCTTCTGTCAGGCCGTATCTGGTCATTTCCGGTATGCAGAACCGGCTCCGCCCCCTTTCTGACGCGGCTCTCTCACGCTTTATAGAGAGACCGCGCCAGATTCAAGGTGCTTGGTGATTTTCGGATGTTACTTCCGCATTCAACGCCGGCTAAGCTTCTCTTCATTCCTAACGTGTATCGAACCTTGGATTGTTGTTACACTTCCGCATTCAACGCCGGCTAAGCTTCTCTTTGTTCCTAACGTGTACCGAACCTTGGATTGTTGTAACGGACTTTTGCATTCTCATTGCCCTCTGACCACGGGCCGTATTGGATTTACCGGATCTCTACTTATTTCCTTGAAACCGGACTGTTTATGTCAAACATCCTTTGGACTCAATCTATTCAGTTCCATGGAGGACAACTCCCATCAATCTTAAGTATACAATTTACTTCTATCTCTGAAGGTTTACTTATTAATGAACTTTTACTTGCTTGCTATAACCTGCATTTACTAAAATATTATTGCAGTCATTAAAGCCTTTTCTTTTCCACTAATTGCCTGCAACCTCCACCTTGCGTTAAAGCTACAGTAACCTTATTAATTTAAAGGATTTCTCCTCTTTTTGCTATTGTAATTAAGGAGTTTTACAAGCTGCAGTTGAGTTCCAAATCCAAAACCTCTTGTGACATAACACCTTCTATACCTGCCTCTTATGTTTATTAAGCTTGTATTTCTACATTGGTTTGCTATTCACCTGGTGGCTAACATGCGCAGCGGTGTGCCGCCACTCTATCCTGATTGGCGATCCAGTGGTTCTCACCCTTATAGCTGAACGTCCACACGTCTAGTTGACATTTTCCTAATGTTCCGTGATACCTAATGTTAGGGTAGACGTATCAGACAGCTTGCATTATCTATTCATTTATAACTATAATGTCGCACCTAATATGTCCATCATCTTCACTCAGCTTAATATTTTACAACGCAGAGCATATTCTAGCTAAAAATATATGTTGCATACTACTTGTATGTTTAACCTTACACAGTACTCAAGTATAAACAGCGAATATGACTCACAGTTAGACGTGTCTACCTAGCATGTTCCAATATGTTGACTTGTACTAAAAATTATGCTCAATGTAATGCCAGTTAGTTGGGCTAATACAGTTGACCTTTTGTCATAGCTAAGCATATTTCACTAATTATCTACTCTAGGTGGAATTGATGAGTCTCTTGCCATAGCTAGCAACTAATTTACTATCCACCATGTAACTTTCAATACACAGCTAGCTCACTGCCTTTCCCTACTAACACTGTTCTGCTGTAAGCTTTGATGTGTTAGTTTAGCCTGTATACTGTAACTTTAAAATGCGGCAGTCATGTCACGGAGTATATATCAACGTGCATGTTCCTGTTAATGTGTGACCATTTCATATATCTCCCTTTTTATTTTCTGTACCCAATCTATCTTTGCCTCAATAAAAGAAAGATTTACAAAAGAAAAGATCAGACTTGGTCGAATCTTTAGTGCTGATGGGAAATTTGTGGGGCTGTATAGTACTCTTATGGTCCCAATGTGTCTCAGAGTCGGAACGCTGTAAGTTAGTGATAGAATTCACTTTGGGTTTGGAAGCTGAATTAAAAAGAGAGATTCTATCCATATTTCTCACCTTGTTATAAGCAAATAGGATCGATTTAGAGGGATATTCTTTATCAAGGAAACGTAGGCAGAGATTTAAAGCTTCTTCCTCGAAATGTTCTAACATAGAACAATTACAGTGGAGTCTAATGAAGTGGCCTACTGGTACATTCGCAATCCATGTAGGATGATGACCGCTGGTGGCATTTAGGAATCCATTGATGTCTCACTTTTTCTGAAATGTCCTAGTTAGTTAATTAGTTAGTTTTCTCCCCAAAGTTTAAGTTCAAGGAATTCTATTCTGGACTTGTGCTTGTTAAAAGTAAATGAGAGTCCCCAGTCGTTAGAATTGAACTCAGTCACAAACTTATCAATGTCATCCCAGTCCCCCTTCCAGATAATTAAAATATCATCGATAAAACGGTCAGGTCAGGTATCAGGTGATCTTTCCAGTTTGGGTTCTCTAAGATATGTGACAAATCCCATAGGCCCATAAATAAATTGGCATATGAAGGGGCAAAACTAGCTACCATGGCTGTCCCTTTTGTTTGAAGATAAAACACTAAATAATTATGCATTGGTACAAAGTGTGCCCTTTCAAAAATGGATTCTGCCTGAGAAGATGGGAGAAGCGGACCAGAAAGCAGAAAGTGTTTGAGTGCTTGTATGCCCAACGCATGGCTAATGTTGGTGTATAGTGCTGTCACATCTATGGTGAGCCATCTATGGTGAGCCTTCATGCCATTTTACACTTTGCATCAAAAAAAGTACAAGACTAGTGTCACATATATAGGAGGGAAGATTCACCACATATCTTTGGAGAGTGGTGCTGTGAGGGAACCAATAGAGGAGATGATGGGCCGCTCTTGATCTTCCAATCTTTCTTTAAAGCTGTTCATTCCCCTATTGTTTTATTTTTGGGGAGGATATATTTTACAGTTTAGAGCCTGTTTTTCTTGTGTATTCTCTGACTTATATTTAATCTACACCTGATACATCTCTTCACACAGGCGTTGGTTTTGTAGTTGTCCTTACGGCATTGCAATTCAGATGCCACTGTGCAGATTTCTATCCATGTTCGATTGACTATATTACTGCCTTGAGCTGATGTGTCTTTTTTTTAAAAAATTCTTTATTTTTGAGTCAACACTGAATGCGGCATAGCAAAATACAGCGGCTCACGCAGGGGCCGATTACAAGGCAGTTTTGCTTAGCATAAAACAATGGATAGATGTTTTTTAGGTTAGGAGACATTGGTATTTTGCCGCTCTGTGTCGGTTTCAATCATGGCGGGCAGTTCTTGCCCGTTCATAAAATACAAAGAACACAACAGTGCAACACAATAAAGTAACATACAATAACCTCTGAGAGTGTAATACATATTTCGCAGCACTTTCCAACCGACTCACATTGGATACATAGAGTCTATTTTTGCTGTTCTGCGTAGAGCAGTTCTGACTTTTGTGCTGTCGGCTATGTGCTCTGAGCAATGCCGTGAATCAGTCGGTGTCGTGTCGTGGTGGGTTTGCTATCATTTAGGTTTGTGTCCGTCAGTTACTCCCAATGTCGCCCCGTCCTACGAGCCATCCCAGTTCAGGTTCTGGTTTGGTCGCGGGTAACGGTGCCCTATCATATTCTCTTGTGCCCATGGGGAGCTTCGTAGAGAGGCCCTAGTGATGGGTCGTGTATTGTTGGTGGTCACTGTGCTTTACTTATAAACCGTTATACCAGTTTGTAGGTGAAGTGTCGCTTGTTGGTTTGGTATCTGTGTGGGTTCTTCCTGATGTCTGATTTGTAGTATTTTAGGGCTTTATATGTAGCGTTTACTATCTTCCTCCGGTCTCCCTGTCTATAGGTGGAGGGAGATGGGGGGAGCAAAGGGGGGGGGAGGAAGGGGGGCAGGCTGTGGGGCGGGGGAGGGGGAGGGAAGGGGAACGCTGTTCATTGGGGCGTGCGGCGGATCCAGGCCCTTTCAGGGGCCTCTGTCTTTGTCCTGCTTATGTGGATTTAATCGTCGAGATAGTCTTCCCATGGTTGCCATATTTTATGGAATGTTTTCTCCGTATTCCTAATTTGGGCTGTGAGTTTGTCCATCAAATATGTGTCTTTCACTTTTGAGTTGATGTGTCTTTTATCTGGTAATACTATTAAATGTTACTTTTAATACATTCAATACAGTTTTATTCATTTATCTATTCCCCTGTAGGAGTGCTCACATTATATTAGTTATGACTGGGGTTGCATAAACAAAGGTGATTTAACTCCTAAATGGCAGAGAATTGATCAGTGAGACTGCGGGGGCATGTTCTATACACCAAAACAACTAAATTAAGTCAAAGTTTTGTTGGTTCTTATATTGTCCTTTTAACCATGCAATTTCACATTTTAGGCCAAACCAGCCCATTCTCTGGTTTATTTCAGACTATTCCTAACATAGGACTCATCTGCATGGTTAGCACTTCCATCAAAGAAAATGTTATGTTTAACAACTGGTAATTTTATGTCAAGACACGGAGGCTCATATTGCTTAACCCTTTCTTTACTGTCCACCAATAGCAGCAAAGAATACAAACAGTAAGAAAAACTGGGAACCATAGTGATAGGCCATTCCTATACCAAGTCCCAGTATAACAGTCAGCACCTCCCCACATATTTCCTCTTTCTTTGCTGCTCCAAAGATAAGTACATTTTCTCTTCCATTTATATGTTTCTTAATTATCATTAATTTCTTATTATTAATGCTATTTATTATGTTATTGTTATTATTTGTTGTAGACTCATTATTGCTTTATTTTCTACATATTATTACAAATTTGTACTTTTATTTATTCTTCTATTGTGTATTATGCATTTGTTTGCTACCTTTGAGCCCAGGGTTCCAGACCTTCTTTAGGGTATTACTAGTTGTATCACTCTCCCTTGAGCTTCCTTTTGTTGCTCTTATCTTTTTTCTGTTCGCCTTATCTCCTTCTTGCTGTCTGTGGCTCCATTGCTCCTTCTCCCTGTCTTTTTGGCGCCCTTTTGCGCCTGTTTCTCCTATCCGTTCGGCTGTTTTTCGTGAATGATTCAAGCCCGTGCTAAATTCATCACAAAACCATGCTGTTCGTTAGTTTTACTGGCATATAGCATCATTCGTCTGTTTGCCACGTTCGACTAATTTTATTCGAATGGTTTGCTCGTTCGTCTGTTTTTCCTATTCATTCTATTCATCTATTTGTTCACATGAATTCGTCTCTTTTTTGGCGAACGTTCGGCTCTTTAATTTGACGAATTCACATGATTTTTTGCCACGAATCTCACTAGATTGCTGGCGGACATTTTGTGACATCCTGTCCTTCTGACTCTTTGCTCTGCCTTATGTTTTTCTTCCTATCTGCCGGTCTGGACCCTGGTGAGCTCCCTATCTCTATCCTCTTAAAGGTATAGCTAGTCTGGGGTGATTAACTCCTGCTAGTCTGTTTTGTCATTTAATTTTTAATTTTCACTCCTTACAGTACTTTATATATATTTGTAGTTAAAGTGGAAATGTCACAGCATTACTATGCCTAAATCCAAAGTGCCTGCCAGTCCCTTTTTTCCCCTGGGGAGATGGACATACCCCAAATTTTGGGTAACCCCTCTTCCAGCTCTATTCCCTTTCTTCTGCAGTAGACCCTATGGCTGTGCCTGATGAAGCCCAGTCCCTGGTGCTACAGCGTTCAGTTTCGGTGGCCATTATGGCCGCTATGGGCTCCATGTCCTCTGCCCTCTCCCAGACCATATCACAGGCCTTACTTGTGCACCCTTTAGCCGCAGAAGGTTCGGCCACTCCGACGCACTTTGCGCGTCCCGCTCCAGGCCTTACAGGGGACACACCTAAAAAGGCTACTGCCAAATCCAGGCACTTAAGTCCCCCTGCCTCCAGAACCAATATGATGGGTGCACCCATGACCACCCATGATCGCGTGCCCATGTCACGCAAAAGAGCCTTCTCGCACCAGGCAGAACGGGCGCGGCAGTGGAAATGTGCTAGAGCACAAAAAGAGAGCGACTCTGACTCAGAAATCGGGTCTGGTGAGGAGGCTGATGCCGAGTCTGTGTGTGACTCTGACGATGAGGTATGCGGGCAGGACACTGACACCTTTTGTTCCTGCTCAATCAGGAATGGTAGTGAGTAGCTCTTGGAGCGACTCCCCAGCTACTGCGGGCTCCACCCTCATGGATCCGTCTGGGGAACCCATGTTTGACCCGGATGCTCTTCATCATCCAAGGTCGGCAGAATGGCTCCCAGCGGACCAGGTGGCACGATACCTGGAAAATTGGGTACGGCGCAGCCTCAGCAAGGCTGTGCGTAATAAACTCAGGGCAGAATGTCCTAGACCTTTGGTGCTAAGCAAAGTCTGTGAGACCCCTATTGTCGTTCCTGAGATTACCCAATTCCTCTCAAAGTTGGGATGGTATCCCGCAAGGGCTTAGATTCGGCACTTACATCATGCCAGGATATACACCTGGACGTATTTGGTCCATGGCCAAACTATTTGACCTGGCTGTAATCGCCATAACCGACAACAGGCAGGTTGAACTCTGCTGGGTGCAGATGGCAATCTGCATAGCGGGCTGTGTAAACACCTCCCTCTCCATAGAACGGCGTAAAGCTATTCTTTTCAAATTGAGCCCAAACTCACCGACCTCGCCCTCACTGAGGCGGGCAAGGATGCCCAAGGCCTGTTATTTGGGGACTCCTTTATAAAGGACCTGGGTTGCTTTGTGGGTGCTTTTACAGCCCTGGATGAAGCCCAATCCTCTATGAAGAGGGTATTTCAGGTACAGGTCTCTACTAGGGCCGGCAGATTTAAGGGTCGTCTGCCCAGCCATTCCAGTTACCACGCCCGTGGATCGGGACAAGGCTCCTACACCCAGAGACCACCATACCAGTAGACGAGACACCAGGCCCCCCTTCTTCCCCTCTTGTGGAAGACAATGGAGCTCCAGAGGCTTTAGAGGAAACTCCGGTTCCAGATGCCCTTACGGGAAGCTTACATCTACCCCATGTTTTTTTCAATAATGGTGTAGGGGGCAGGCTCCGTCATTTTCTCCGAAGCCTGGTCAACTGTCACCCCCGATGTCTGGGTCCTGACCACCATTCAGGGGTTTCACATCGAGTTGGTCAACACTCTGGGTCACATTCCCCATCCTCCCCCTATTTTGCTCTCCATGACCAACCGCGTCTTCATAGACGTGGAACTATCGGCACTCCACGCGAAAGAGACACTTGAACAAGCACCCATATCCCCAGGGTCCTCAGCTACATTTTCCTAGTAGAATGAGGAGCAGGCAGATGCGCCCAGTTATCAACCTAAACACTTTGGTGCGCTACCGCCACTTCAAGAAGGTGGGCATTCATCTCCTGCGGGACTTGCTCCTTCGGGGAGACCGGATGGTGAAGTCAGACCTCAAGGACGCATACTTAACAATCCCAGTGACCGAGGCGTCCAGGGACTTATTTCCCTTTGGAAAGGCGACACCTGGCGCTTTACATGCTTCCCCTTTTGGACTCTCGTCAGCTCCTTGGTGCTTCACAAATTGATGTGCCTTGCAATGGCTTGAGGGTGCAGTCCAGGAGTTCGGTTGATAGTCTACCTGACGACAGCCTCATCATGACATAGGACCGTTCGGACCTCCTGAAGCACCTGCAATGGATGATGGATCTCCTCTCTTGCCTGGGTTTTTCCTCCTCAGCTGGGATAAACCCTGCCCGAGTTCCTCAGGTTCACCATAGACTCTGAGGTGGAATCACTCAGCCCCCCTCCGTCCAAGGTATGGTTCCGCAAGTAATTACGCTGCGCTCTAACGTGCCCTCAGCTATTGCTGCATCATCTGGCATGGATCATTGGCCTATTGGCTTCATCAATCCAGGTGGTGTTCCCAGCCCCTCTCCACTACCGTGCCCTACAATGTCTGAAGATTGCACACCCTCGCTGTGGGCAGGGACGTATTAGCCGTGAGGCAAACAAGGCCTTGGGCGACATTTTTCAGGGGGCGGCAAAAAACGCCGCCCCCCAAATGCCCAGGGCAAATGCCTAGTTAGCCTCACGGCTAACTGACATGCTGGGCGCTGGGCGGCACTGGCTGCCGGTCGGGCGGGCAGCTGGTGAGGGAGCTCTTCCTCTGAGCGGTCTGCTCAGCTGCCTCGCGCGCCGCAGAGTGAGGCTGGGAGCCGGAATATGACGTCATCAACCCGGCTCCCAGCCGGCTCGTGAGGGAGCTGAGCAGACCACTCAGAGGAAGTGCTCCCTCGCCAGCCGCCCGCTCGCCCGGCAGCCACTGGACCACCAGGGAGAAAGAGGAACCCCCCCCAGCATTCCCAAAGGTAAGGAGGCTGGGAAGGGGGTTAAATAAAAAAAAAAAAGTGTTAATGTGAGTGATTGTGTGTGACTGTGTGTGTGTGTGTGACTGTGTGTGTGTGTGTGTGTTTGTGTCTGACTCTGTGTGTGTGTGTCTGACTGTGTGTGTGTGTGTGTTTGTGTCTGACTGTGGGTGTGTTTGTGTGTGTGTATCTGACTGTGTGTGTGTGTGTGTCTGACTGTGTGTGTGTGCGTTTGTGTCTGACTGTGTGTGTGTTTGTGTCTGGCTGTGTGTGTGTCTGACTGTGTGTCTGACTGTGTGTGTGTGTGTCTGACTGTGTGTGTTTGTGTCTGACTGTGTGTGTTTGTGTCTGACTGTGTGTGTGTGTGTCTGCCTGTTGGTGTGTGTGTGTGTATTTAGAAGGTGGGGAAGGGTTGGGTGGGGTGGGAGGGGGGTGCCTGAGATTTGTCCTGCCTAGGGCAGAACAAAACCAGGATACACCTCTGGCTGTGGGACATCCTATGCGGACATGGTCTCTCTGGACTCGGAAACTCAGGATGAATTGACCTGGGAGATCCACAACCCCTCGACCTGGAACGGCAAGGCCATCTTCGGTTACAATCACATATCTGATGTTTATCAATATGTTAATGACTGCCAATGATCCGTTAATTATGTCATTATTGCAATCCCACTTTTCTGATACACTTCTGCAACACTTTTACCAAATACTTTACATTAAAGCATTTATACTTTTGGAAATCACAATCCTTAAGAAGAGGCGTTTCAACACAGGACTACCAAAGACATTTTAATTTCAACTCCTAAAAATAACCATATAACCTGTTCTAACAAATAACCAATACCTCATATTATTTGTAAGTGTTTGCAGAAAAAACTTTACCAATACCTCCACCCTTGGATACTTGTAACCTTCAACTTCTAATGTAACTGAAAATCCCTCGAAGGTACAAATATTTTTCATTGTTGACTTCACAATATCAGCTGAAGAAAGAAGATGGTGGTGTCCATGATTGAGAATTTAAGTATATCTACTTTTAGGCTTACGATACGTCCACCACAGACAAAGGTTGAATGTTAGCTTCGGGGTGTCTTTGCAAAATACCCACAAAAAACCCTAGACGTGACAGAGCCACTAAAAAGGATAACATGCTAAATATTGTCCGCGTCACGGAATGTTCCATAAACACGCTATGCTTGCATGACATTCACTCTTTATTCATCATTAGTATCATATGATATTTTATAATGAAAATAACTCATAGGGTATAAATAGAGTAAAAATTAAAAACGTATGTTTATTGAATTCTAGTTAAAAATCTCTAAGGACAAAAATTAATGAAATAGGTGAAACACACAGTGTTGGTGAATTTAAAAAGGAAAGGTTCGATGCAGTCTAGACAGTCTCTTGTATATGTATATGTAACTAACTGTAAGTGGTTACTAGTGATGTCCCGAACGGTTCGCCGCAGACGGCGAACATATGCGCTGTTCGGTCCACCCCTATTCGTCATCATTGAGTAAACTTTGACACTGTACCTCACAGTTGTCACGATTCGGGGAACCAAACACGCCAACACACACACAAAGTGCAGTACCGGACCTTAGAGTGGCCGGGCTAAGCACACAAAGAATAGTCAGGAAACAAGCCGAGTAAAGGGGAACCAGAAGACAGAATAACGATAGACAAACCGAGGTCAAAGGGTAGGAGAAAGTCACAAAGTCGGATAAACAAGCCAGAGAGTACGTAACCAGAAACACAAGTTCAGTAGTAATACTAGCAAGTAAAGACCACAACAGGGCGGAGAGGAACAGGAAAGGTAAGTATTTAAATCCATAGGTTAATTCTGATTGGATAATTTCCAATCAGAATTAACAATCACACGTGGGAGATATCTAAACCTCCCACTGTGATTGAGGCACTGTGCCTTTAATGCCGGGTCAGGTGACTGACCCCGGCGTTTGTTAAAATGGGCGGTCTCCCAGCGTGCAGCGTCATGCATGCTGCCGCTGGGGGACACAGAGGAAGACACGGGCGGCATCCGTGGCTGGGAGGATGCCGCCCGCCGAGCGCACGCCAGGAAGGGGACCGCGGACGGCTGGAGTGTGAGTGCCACGAGCGGACTGCAACCTCCCCTCGCAGCCGCCCACGGGACCCTGACAACAGTCAGCAGACACATTCCAGCCAATCAGCAGCAGACCCTCCCTCCCAGACCCTCCCACCTCCTGGACAGCTCACTAAGAATGCAGCTTCACAATGAATGTAAAATGGATGCTGTCCAGGAGGTAGGGGGGTCTGGGAGGGAGGGTCTGCTGCTGATTGGCTGGAATGTGTCTGCTGACTTAGGCAACCTTTCTCGTGTTTGTACTATTTAGGGTTTAGGACCCTTTATACCCACATAGTCCATTTATATGTTGACTTCGGATTCAAGCTTTGCTTGACCCCTAAGGCTTCATCTTTTCTTTATCTATAATGAAAATAAACTGTTCAGTTGTTCATTCACTGTTTGGATAAGGTCCCATATACACATTGATTAATTATTATTTCACATGAGCGTATGTGATCAATCTTTTATCATAATATTTTAAGCTGCTCTTAAAGAAAATGGCTGACACTTTAAAGAAAGCAGATTTGCCTGCAGGCTGACTGATTGCCACCATAAAGATTTGTTATGTAATTTATCTATTCAGGAATGACAACAACACTTCAGGCAATTAGTATGACTCTATGTACACAAACATAAGATCTGTTACACTGGGTGATTCATGGCTATTACAGGCTCGTGTTAAAATAGGGCAATTATAGAAATGGCCTTGTGGCTATAGAGGACTTGGTGAAGACACAGACACCAATACTATATAGCATTTTAAGCGCTTTTCTTTAAGGACGGCTATTTATAGAGCCTTTCATCTTTTATTTTACATTGATGCTTGGGGGGGCGGGGGGATATGCAGAAAAATTCTGAGACTTCTTTTAGTCACTTCATCGTGACCTAATAGCAATTTCTATAAGTGGTCAAGCAATTTAAACACTAATACAACGGCTTCTTCTCATCCTCCGCAATATTGGTCTACGAGATACTGCTCTCTCCTGGTGCTCCTCCTACCTCTCCCAGCGCTCTTTCAGTGTTTCTTTCTCTGGCTCTGCTTCTTCTCCCCAACTCCTCTCTGTTGGTGTCCCCCAAGGTCCAGTCCTTGGTCCCCTACTGTTCTCCATCTATACTGCCTCCCTTAGTAAACTCATTAGCTCCTTTGGCTTCCAATATCATTTCTATGCAGGTGACACGCAAATCTACCTGTCCTCTCTTGATCTCTCCCCGTCCCTCTTGACTAGTGTCTCTGACTGCCTCTCTGCTGTTTCTGACTGGATGGCTGCCCACTTCCTTAAACTAAACTTGACCAAAACTGAAATTCTGGTCTATCCTCCCTCAACTGTTGTTACTCCTGTGTCTGTCTCCCTCCAAGTCAACGGTGCTACCATCAGCTCCACCACGCAGGCTCGCTGCCTAGGTGTTCTCTTTGACTCCGACCTCTTCTTCAAGCCTCATGTTCAATCTATTGCCAAATCCTGTCATTTCCATCTCAAAAACATTGCGCACATCCGCCCCTACTTAACGCCTGATGCGACTAAGGTGTTGGTTCACTCCACTGTCCTTTCTCGCCTTGACTACTGTAATCCGCTTCTCAGTGGTCTTACGTGCTCCCAACTAGCGCCGTTACAGTCCATAATGAATGCGGCGGCGAGGGTCATCTTCCTGTCCGCCCACACCTCCCATGCCTCACCTTTCTGTCAGTCCCTACACTGGCTTCCTATAAAATATAGAGCTCAATTTAAAATTCTGGTTCTTGCTTTCAAATCTCTACATAATGCTGCTCCCACCTATCTATCCTCCCTTATACACAAGAATGTCCCGTCTAGGCCCTTACGATCTGCCGAAGACTTATGTCTATCGTCTGTCCGTACTCCCACCTCGGATGCTCGCCTTCAAGATTTCTCGAGGGCTGCACCGTTCCTATGGAACTCGCTTCCCTCCTCCGTTAGATGCTCACCCAGTCTCCACTCCTTCAAAAAATCGTTAAAAACCCACTTCTTCATAAAAGAGTATCAATTAAACTGTTAATAGCTCCTGACTGATTCCTCTTCTGCAACTGTCATTAGTCTAATACTATCCTTACCTTTTTGTGTCATTTTACCCCACTCCCTCTAGCATGTAAGCTCATTGAGCAGGGCCCTCAACCCCTCTGTTCCTGTGTGTCCAACTTGGCTGGTTACAACTACATGTCTGTTCGTCCACCCATTGTAAAGCACTGCGGAATTTGACGGCGCTCTATAAATATCATAATAATAATAATTTATACAAAGCACAGTCATATATAAAGACAAAGGCAGTGTGTTTAATGCACGTTGTTATCCATTTTATTGTTGTAGGTCTCCGACATACATAAATGTAAAGTCATCCATTCAGGGTCAGATTTGCTTTTAAGAGGTTAATCTAACCAAAAACAGTGTTTTAATAAAACAAAAAACAAAAAGAGTAACCCTTGCCATGCCTCAACCCCCCATCCCAACTAAAATAAAGAAATAAAGCCAATGTAATCACACGCTTTCTCTGTGTTTGCTGGTGACATCACAGGCAGCGTCCCCTACATTTGTTTTCAATCATACAAGTCCATACAAGTAGTCTCCAAACACCTCTGTTTTTAGGCTGCTTGTGGTGTTCAGTGTGTGGGATGCTGCTTGTGATGTTGTGTTCCTGTATGTCAATGTGTTGTGGTAGAATTGTTAATAGGGGCTGAGGTAGGTGCTAGGGAGATGGGGCTGAGGTTGGTGCTGGGGGGAATGGTGCTGAGGTGGGTGGAGGGGGAAATGGTGCTGTGGTTGGTGCTGGGGGAGATGGAGACTGAGGTGAGTGAAGGGGTAGATGGGTACTGAGGTGGGTGGAGGGGGGCATGGGGCTGAGGTTGGTGCTGGGTGAGATGGGGGCTGAGGTGGGTGGAAGGGAGCATGGGGCTGAGGTTGGTGCTGGGGAGATGGGGCTGAGGTGGGTGAGGGGCATAGGCTGAGTTGGAAGCTGGGGGAGATGGGGGCTGAGGTGGGTGGAGGGGGGCATGGGGTTGAGGTTGGTGCTGGGGGAGATGGGTGCTGGAGGTGGGGGAAGGAGGCATGGTGTTGAGGTTGGTGCTGGGGAAATGGGGCTGAGGTGGGGAGGAGGCATGGGGTTGAGGTTGGTGCTGGGGAGATGGGGCTGAGGTGGGGGGAGGAGGCATGGGGTTGAGGTTGGTGCCAGGGAGATGGGGCTGAGGTGGGGGAGGAGGAAAAATGGGGTTGAGGTTGGTGCTGGGGGGAGATGGGGCTGAGGCGAGTGGAGGGGGTATGGGGCTGAGGTTGGTGCTGGGAGATGGGTGCTGAGGTGGGGGGGGAGGAGGCATGGGGCTGGAGGTTGGTGCTGGGGAGATGGGTGCTGAGGTGGGGAGGAGGCATGGGTTGAGGGGTTGGTGCTGGGGAGATGGGGGCCAGGTGGGGGGGGGGGGGGCATGGGGCTGAGGTTGGTTCTGAGGGAGATTGAGGTGAGTGAAGGGGAAGATGGGTACTGAGGTGGGTGGAGGGGGCATGGGGCTGAGGTTGTTTCTATGGTGCTGGAGGAGATGGTGGCTAAGGTGGGTGCTGTGGGCGATGGGGGCTGAGGTGGATGGAGGGGGGCATGGGGCTGAGGTTGTTTCTATGGTGCTGGATGAGATGGGGGCTGAGGTGGGAGATGGGGACTGAGGTGGGTGGAGGGGGGCATGGGGCTGAGGTGGAGGAGGGTATTGGGAATTTACATACCTTCGGTTTATAAAGGAGCCAGGCTGCTCCTCAGCTTCAGTCACTGTCTTAGCAGATTCGAGAGGAGAGGAGGGGGCCAGAAGTGATGTAACTTACCCTCCCCTGGGCCCCGCTTCCTCCCCTCACACGGAGCTCCACACAAGGAGAGAATGGAGATGACCTGGCAAGAGCAGGCTTGCTGCCGGCCAGGTCTCACTCTGCAGGTGAGGTAGGTGCTGGGGAACAACCTATCCTGTGTAATTGTGCCTCTTTGGAGACCTCCCCAGCCAGAGAGAGTTTATGGCTGTTCAGCCAGCCGGGCCCCTGACTGCCTCGGTCCATGACCAATCTGCCCAAGTGGTCAGTCTGCCCCTGCTAATAGGAATGACAGAATGGAATGCCCATAGACTTTAAAGGAACACTATAGTCACCTAAATTACTTTAAAAATACAAGTACAGAGTTTAAGCGTGTAACCCAAATAGATACCAAATCACTAAAAAAACACCCGTGTGGTAACCTCTCTATCCACACAGCAAATAACATAAAATCATATACATAAAATGGGTGGAATTATACGGTTCAGGGTAAAGGATGGTAATATGAAGGCAAACGGAGTAACTGTGAAGATAAAATGGTATACAAGCACCTAGTGCAATATCATACAGTATAATATTTTATAAGCATAAGATGTATGATTCGGTACTCACAAGGAGGGAGCCAATAGGTAATGGCTCAATCAAAGTGCCTGTGGGATGGTTTGGAGGGATCCCACTCCCTTTCAAGATGCAGGTGATCTTTCACTGGTTCCAAAAGAAGTGTCCACACCAATGGAATATTGGGGACTAAATTCCTTTTAATGGTAAACAGTAAAGTACAAATGTATACAAATATAAAATAAGAAAAAATAGAGACTTGATACTAAACTATGGTAAGGTAAGTAAGTCCTCTGTACAGTAAAAAAGAGTTGCAAAACGCGTTTCGCCCAAATCGTGGGCTTCCTCAGTTGCTAATGATGTCCGTCTGATAGTGTGTATTTATATCCATCAAAGAAGATGGTTTCTTCTGTGTTCGCGCGGTTTTTCTGTTTCCGGTCGCATGTTGATGACGTATTTCCGGTCCGCGGATTGTTGGTTAGATCGCTGTTGGAACACATAAACAATATGAATATCGGGTTATATACCCAGTATTTAATGGAGAAAAAAGAAAGAAATAGCTAAATTATACAAATAGAAAATCTCATAGACATATTGTATAAATAAAAATCATTTCAAAGAATTATATAATTGAGTTCACACACATATATAAAGCGAATCCATGATATATAACTTGTAAGTAATGTAGAAAAAAAAAAGAGTAAATGTAAAATATTATATATATATATATTATATATTTTACATTTACTCTCTTTTTCTTTTCTTTTTTTTTCTCCTACATTACTTACAAGTTATATATCATGGATTCGCTTTATATATGTGTGTGAACTCAATTATATAATTCTTTGAAATGATTTTTATTTATACAATATGTCTATGAGATTTTCTATTTGTATAATTTAGCTATTTCTTTCTTTTTTCTCCATTAAATACTGGGTATATAACCCGATATTCATATTGTTTATGTGTTCCAACAGCGATCTAACCAACAATCCGCGGACCGGAAATACGTCATCAACATGCGACCGGAAACAGAAAAACCGCGCGAACACAGAAGAAACCATCTTCTTTGATGGATATAAATACACACTATCAGACGGACATCATTAGCAACTGAGGAAGCCCACGATTTGGGCGAAACGCGTTTTGCAACTCTTTTTTACTCTACAGAGGACTTACTTACTTTACCATAGTTTAGTATCAAGTCTCTATTTTTTCTTATTTTATATTTGTATACATTTGTACTTTACTGTTTACCATTAAAAGGAATTTAGTCCCCAGTATTCCATTGGTGTGGACACTTCTTTTGGAACCAGTGAAAGATCACCTGCATCTTGAAAGGGAGTGGGATCCCTCCAAACCATCCCACAGGCACTTTGATTGAGCCATTACCTATTGGCTCCCTCCTTGTGAGTACCGAATCATACATCTTATGCTTATAAAATATTATACTGTATGATATTGCACTAGGTGCTTGTATACCATTTTATCTTCACAGTTACTCCGTTTGCCTTCATATTACCATCCTTTACCCTGAACCGTATCATTCCACCCATTGTATGTATATGATTTTATCTAATTTACTTTAGCTAAATAAAGCAGTTTTAGTGTATAGATCATTCCCCTGCAATGTCACTGCTCAATTCACTGTCATTTAGAAGTTAAATCACTTTGTTTCTGTTTATGCAGCCCTACCCACACCTCCCCTGGCTATGATTGACAGAGCCAGCATTGAAAAAAAAAACTGGTTTCAATTTCAAACAGATGTAATTTACCTTAAATAATTGTATCTCAATCTCAAAATTGAACTTTAATCACACACAGGAGGCTCTTGCAGGGTCTAGCAAGCTATTAACATAGCAGGGGATAAGAAAATCTTAATTAAACAGAACTTGCAATAAAGAAAGCCTAAATAGGGCTCTCTTTACAGGAAGTGTTTATGGAAGGCTGTGCAAGTCACATGCAGGGAGGTGTGACTAGGGTTCATAAATAAAGGAATTTAACGCCTAAATGGCAGAGGATTGAGCAGTGAGGCTGCAGGGGCATGTACTATACACCAAAACTGCTTCATTAAAGGGACACTATAGTCACCTGAACAACTTTAGCGTAATGATCTGGGTGAACCACATATCCAAAATTCACCCAGATCCGTTCAGTAGTTTGGAAGATACAGTTTAATGCAGATTCCGCAGAACATATAGAGGCAATATGAAAAATAATTACTGTTAAATGTGTCCCCTGTTCTGTAGTTTAAAACTACTGAACGATGTCTTTGTGCACCAAATACCGGCGAGATGGCACCGTGTAGAAAAGTCCAAACAGTGTCTGTGAGTTAAAATGGCCACCATCCATTGTTCTCACCATGTGCTTCATCCATTGTTCTCACTATGTGCCTCTGATATATGAAATGGTGGCCACCCAGTAACTCCACAGTATGTCCCCAGATGGTTCTTAAAAGGCCAGCAGCAGCACAACACAAATCCATTATGCCCAAATCAGTTCCTTAAAGGGCAATACATCCCAGGGCCATAGTCGCAGGGCAGGAGGCTGGCAAACAGCCCCCTCCAAAAACCAGTGGTGAGGTCACTTTCGCCACAATGACAAGGATACATAACAGAAGGGAATGCCCATAAAGTATAATGGGAAGAAAAATATATACTCTTTTGCAGGCAATTCAGTGTTACGTAGGAAATTAACCTTTACTCCAGGTGTTCCACAAGTACAACAGCAGATTGTAAAAACTATATTATATATTAAATACCAGAAAAGAATTACAAAGGGGAAGAGAAAATGGTAGACATTTATAACAGACAGAACTGTGCTGCATATTAGCTCAGCATTGTTCGAGTGTTCATCTCTGCAAGTGAGACCTGATACATTCATGTTGGCTAATAGAAGAAAGGATTTAAAGGTCCTCAGTGCAGGATGGCATACCTCCCAACATTGGCAGGTATGAAATTGGAACTTGCCAGTGATACTACTTCCACCTGTACTTAAAAGGAAACACAGAGCTGCCGAGACCAAATACTGGTTAAAACATAACATTCAATGATATGATAAAATAAGATGAAATCATTTTTTTTATTTTTTTAAAGAGTGAAAATATACACAATAATTGACTGATACCACGTGGGAGAAACATGTGGAAAAAAATCATAAACTCAAAAGAAAATATATACCAAAACCAAAATAAATAAAACTAAAATATAATATATGTAGATTTCCTGCTGGTGTCTCAGAATTCTAAACAGCTGACAAGGCTATCCACTAAAGAACTGATTTAAGAGCCTGTAACAATATCTGTGGAGCACCTACAATGCTACAAATGTCATATTGTTGAAATGCCCTTGACATACAAAAATTCAGTCTGGGTATGTCTCAGTGTGTGTACACATGTATGCTCTATCTGTGTGTCTACATTTGTACACCGCCCCCAGTTGTGTATCTCTTAGTGCTAACCTCGCCCTGGCCACTGACATCATGTCTTATTGATGAAACTTTACTTAACATGTAAAGATAATGCGGCTACACAATATCCAACCTACCCAGACCGCTGGTTATAACGCAGCGCCACCTACAGGTCCTACAGGAAGCAACAAGTCTTGGGTATAATTACTGCTAGAAATAACAATGTCTGTTCAGATGTGATATTAGATGGGTGGAAAAAAATTTAACGAATATGCAGAACAGAAAATACATTTCCTGTAAATATTAAATCGTCATACAAACCATATTATGTAGAAAATCTTAATCTAGACAAGTGGTTACAAAAAAATATTGAACAAGTAGATCAGTAAATGGGGGAGGGTGGGGGGGTGGGATAAAATTAAATCCTTTCCACAAATAGTTCAATGATCTAACAAAGAGATATTTCCGTATATGAGAATTAAAAAATTTCTTAATCAAAATATTCTTTGCAACAACACAGAGGGGGTCAAACCTATCTGTTCATTGTTTATAAATGAGCCAATAGATAAGGTGGTCTCAAAAACTATGAGCGCTGTGTTAAAAATGGATGCTCCCACAACCATTCCAGCGTGCAAAAAGTGGGAAAAGGATCTAAAAATTAAAATTAATAGAGAGGAGTGGTGCCGAGTTCTTTCTAAAACCTGTAAAATTGTCCACTGCTTGAATCTAACAGAAATGATCTTCAAAGTAATGAATAGATGGTATCTGGTCCCGACGAGACTGGCTAAAATGTGTAACTCTGCCTCCCCACTATGCTGGAGATGCAATACACAACTTGGGTCTTTTATCCATATCTGGTGGGACTGTGATACAATTAAAAATAAATGGAAAAAGGTTTTTACAGAACTAGAAATTTTGTTAACTAAACCGATTCCTAAAGCTCCAGAGAACGCTATTTTACATCTGAATATTAAACAACTGCAAAAAGAAAGAGGTATTTATTTATATTCACTTTATGATTGCAGTGAAAATTCTTATTGCCCAAAATTGGAAATCCTCAAATACTTTCACACTAACTAACCTGAATCCACAGGTGCTGTATCAGTTAAATATGGAATCACTACTGTTTATATCTTAGAGACTAGCTCCTAAGAAACATCTTGAGTGTGAAAATTGGATAAAAAAAGTTACAGATTTTTTTTGTCTTATCAGACCCGGTGGTAAGTATTCTTTAAAAAACGATTTGAGTTATTGTTCAACGGTTAATTTCCCTCAATACCCCTGTAGGCAGTGTGTGTTTTTGTGTTTTTTCTTTTTTGAATGTTCTATATTTGTCTGTCATTTTTGTAAATAAAGGAAAACATCTTGTAAACAGAAACTCAAAATAAATTATTTACCAAAATAGTGGCTAAAACATAACATTCAATTATATTATGATAAAATAAGATGAAATATTTTTAATTTTTTTTTTTAACGCGTGAGAATATACACAATAATTTACTGATACCACGTGGGAGAAACGTGTGAAAAAAAAATAATCATAAACTCAAAAGAAAATATATACCAAAACCAAAATAAATAGAACTAAAATATAATATATGTACATTTCCGGTTGGTGTCTCAGAATTCTAAACAGCTGGCCAGGCTATCCACTAAAGAACTGATTTGAGAGCCTGTAACAATATCTGTGGAGCACCTACAATGCTACAAATGTCATATTGACATACAAACACATAGAGAAATTCAGTCTGGGTATGTCTCAGTGTGGGTACACATCATGTATGCTCTATCTGTGTGTGTCTACATTTGTACATCGCCCCCAGTTGTATATCTCTTAGTGCTAACCTCCCCCTGGCCATAAACACACACTGACATCATCCTGTAAAGATAATGCGGCCACACAGTATCCGACCTTCCCAGAGCGCTGGCTGTAACGCAGCGCCACCTACAGGTCACAGCGCGGAATGACACCCCACGTGCGCCCAGTGCGTGTTTCCCCCACGTGCTCTGGTCCAGCTGGTCGCTGCCCGATGTGCGTCATCCCGCGCAGGGGTTTGTGGGAGTACCCTCGGCTTCCTCCTTCCTTTCACGCGGCCATCACTAACGAGGCCAGCTGCGGTCTCCCCTGTCTTGAGTTCGGGAAGTTTTAGACCTTTACTGCCGATGCCGGGAAAACTAAACACGGGCGCAATGGACACCGTAACCACCAAGGAGAAGGTGAGGGCCAGTGCGGGGCTCGGGGGGCCAGCGTGGGGGGCCGGGTGGCCGGATACGGACAGCCAGATGTGGAGCACGTTAGTACGCAGTCCGCGGGTGCTGGGACATAGAGCAACCCTGGCTCCCACAGGGCCCTCTGGACTACATATCCCGGCATGCCTAGCCAGCCATTCCATAGGCTGAGCATCATGGGAAGTGCAGTCCAGAACTTTTATAAAGTTAGTGTAAACTCACCTGCTGTATATGTGTACCTGGGTTACCTATGGGTAGACTCTCCCCCAGCTTTTCATGATGCTGCTGGCTGCTCACTAAAAGGGAGTATTCTAAATTAATTTAAAGTTATAATATACTCTTTTGCAGGCAATTCAGTGTTACGTAGGAAATTAACCTTTTACTCCAGGTGTTCCACAAGTACAACAGCATAATGGTAGTCAGTAGTTATTGTTGTGCTGACTTTGCTGCACAATATGAAATACATTTGTTTATGCATTGTCTTGTGAGAGCTTTCTAGAAACAAAACCCTAAATGATGCTCAAATCACTTTAATATTTAGATTAGTTTGTCGTGCGCAAGTGATTTTGCTGATTTTTGTTTTTATTAATAACAAAAGAATAAATCCCTTGCTTGCTTGTTCATTGCGGGAATGCAGGCAGGCAAACCACAAACTTTCCAACCTCCAGTTGTCACTCTGGACATTTGGATAACTGCACATTTAAGCCACACTGCATGCAGCCTATCGATAAGCCTGGTGCCACTAAAAGTGCCTCCAGCTGACACAGGAACGCTAGTTGTGAGCTGGGATTTAACCCTGCTCAAGTCGCAAAACAGCCAATGGGAATTAAAATGCCCATTTAAATGGGTGTGTGAAGCGCTTACTTTAAATGCTGCATACAACATCTCTGCTGGTCTGGGGACACTAAATAGACCCCAGCTGACAGAGAGGAGCCACAGGTATTGATACATGAGATTCCTTTATGTGAGCATTAAGTTTATCTTGCTCACACTAGAACATTAAGATGTGCCAATCTGTCCTTATGGCTTTAAGCCAATTAAAAGGACTTCTAACATGGCAAAGTTGTTAAAGGAAAGTTTAGTTTTCTGGGGGTAGTCTGTTTTCATGCGGTGACTGTAAAGGGTAACATTTTTCCCTTGTGTGATCTATGCTTTTGTGCTCTTTGATATTTTTGGTTTCAAACATCTCATGGAAACACTTCTCCAATATTTTTTCCAGCTTCTTCTGACTTCTTCTGGTCAGTAAATTAACCAGATGAGAGGAAATCAGCCTGTCTGCCTGTTTTTTGTTTTTTTAAATGTATACATTCACTGTGGCCATTGGGTTTAGAACTAAATATATGTGCTACTCTGCTGTGGATTTTAACAAAGTGTTAGTCTGGTTATGATATCTATATACTGACATGCTTATTCTCAGTTTTATATAAAATAATTATGCAATTCTAGAAAGGTTATTTCTGCAAATCTCTTATTACCTTTAACACAATAGGTTTATTATCAGTGTCATGACAAGTCACCAGTTGTCTGAGCAAGAAATTAGTTAACAAACCCAAATAAATAAAACAGGTCCATGTTGAACTGTACAAGTATATGTATAAATACATCCTGCAATTGTAAGATATAGTTAATTTCCTTGAGCCATAATGTATCCTTAAACTTTTTTTTCCCCTTTCCAGAAAGTTACTGAAACTCCTACACTCAAGAAACAAAAGAGAAAACTTCAGAATGGGGATACAGAAGGACTTGATTTGGAACTTGTAACTGATTTAAATGGACTGGAAAACGGCGAGATTAATAATAATAATAAGGTGAAATAGATGCTTAAAGGTTTTTAAAAACATATTTTTAACAGAAGATAGCATGGAAGATTTTTTTTTTTTTTTTTTTTGTGTGTGTGTGTGTTTGTCTGTGTTTAGGCCTCCCAACCTGTTTGCAGAAGTATATTAACAGTGTTTCTGTTGTTGGCGTGAAAAACTATAAAAAGAAAAAATGCCACCATACTGCTGATTAACTACATGTAATATTATATTGATTGGCTTTTATATAGCACCAACGTATTCTATAGAGCTTTGCGGTTTAAATGTGGATATATAACAGAGAGAAATTTTTTCACTTATTTAGAGTGTTAATGGGAAACGAGTTGTTGTGTGTTTTTTATTTATTTATTTTTGGACCCTGCTCAAACATGGGTTCAGTCTAAAGGTAGTTAAAGGGACACTCCAGGCACCCAGAGCTCTTCTGCCCATTGGAGTGGTCTGGGTGCCAACTCCCATCACCATTAACCCTGCAAGTGTAATTTTTGCAGTTTTTATAAACCGCAATAATTACTTTGCAGGGTTAAGTCCTCCTCTAGGGACTTCCGGCTTCTTAGAACACAAAAAGTGTTTTAAATGATGCTGGACGTCCTAACGCTATGCACGAGGACCTCCAGCGTCGCCTGTTTCCCCGTAAGAAAGCATTGAACAATGCTTTACTATGGGGAGGTTTAATGCATTATGTCTCTCGGCAGGGGAGGATGGTGGACGGAACCCAGTAAGTGAAGGTTTTAATCCCTTCAGCAACATGGGATGGGGGTTGGGAGGGAGGGAAGGAAGCACTGCAGGATCCTGCAGTGCCAGGAAAACGGGTTTGTTTTCCTGGCACTGGAGAGTCCCTTAAACTTTAAAAGGATACTCGATGTAGAGTACACAAAGTTCAGGCAATCCAAGTATAGGTAGCTTATACATCCAAATGTACATATTGATCAGACCCGATATGGAACGCCAAATGGACACCATATCACCTTCCAAGATATACAAAAGCTCTATTTCTTTATTTTAAAAATACATAAGTTTGAGATTGGGGGGGGGGGGACCCCACCACACCGAGAGAGTTGTCCTATGTGTTCCGTGGTCTCAGATGAAAGGTGAAACGCGTAAGACATTGGTTCCCAGTGTGGTGAAACCCTCTAATATTGATACAAAAAATACTTTACTCACTTCACTCTGAGTCAAAAACAAAACATGGGTGTGTTAGTCAATTGGGCCTGGCCAGTAGATTACTTTTTTATTTTCTTATTCAACAGACACCGAAACAGAAGAAAAAGAAGAAGCTTGCAGAAAAAGAGAGTCCTTCTGAAACCGCTGATCAATGTAATGGAGAGCAGAATGATAACGATGCTTCTACTCCAAAGAAAGTTAAGAAGAAAAAGCCAAAAAAGGGCAAAGCTGTAGATATAACAGAGCAAGAAACATCCTCCCCTGAACCTCAGGTTAATGGAGGGCAGGTAAATATTATATTCTTTCATTATCTACAGAGACAGAAGGTGTAATCTTATATTTTTGCTAGTGTATCTCATAAAGAGGTCAAGCAAAAAAAAAAATCTGTAGTGTCATATATGTCTAGATTTTTGTGTTTTCATTCTGGACTTTCATTTATGGCTAAATGTTAAAAGCTTTTTCCGACACACTGTTTTCATTTTAGAGTGGCAAAAAATCTAAACCCAAAAAAAAGAAATTGGCGAATGCAGAAAACAATAACGCAGATAAGTCTGCTGACTGCGACGAACCATCAGCCAAGAAGATGAAAGTAGACCCATCTGCATCAAATGCAACTTCAGGAAATGATGGAAATGAAGAACCTAAATCAGATGATGAGGTATGGGAAGCTAACTCTAGAGCACTCTGATGTATAGTAAATGGCAGTACACTCATAGAATAGTTAGATCTGACTTCTGTTTGAATAACTGTTATGAAATGTGAAGAGACAACTTGTGCTCAATAAATGACGCTGTAAAACGTCATTAATATTCAAAGAAATAACCGGGTTGTTGCCAAACTTTAGCCTTTGAGTAACATCTATTCTATCTAAGAAGGCTTATCTTCTGTACAAATATAATAAAACCTTCTTAGAAAATGTCCTGAACAAGAAAATGTGTATTTTTTTTTTAGAGGTGCAAGTGAAACTATTAGATTTCAAAGAGAGTTAATGCATCTCAACAATTTAGAGTGAGCGTTATTAACGTCTTAAGGACACTGCTACAAAAATGTCTTACCATTAAGGACACAAGCCTTTTGCTGTTTGTGTTCAAACGCAATTTGCCTCTCTGTCATTTATTGCACCAACACATTATTATATAACTTTTTTTTTTTTTTTTTTTGAGGGCATAAATGGCTTTAATTTGATGTCACTTATACATATAAATTCTCATTAATTATAAAACAAAATAGAGGGGGGAAAAACAAACCAAATTTTTTCAGTTTTGGTAATAGCGTGTGTATAATGTCCAGCTTACGACAAGTAATTCAAAATAAATTAATTTATGTATCTTGATTTATAGACTACATAATGTGTAGGATTTCAGCTTATTTAATAGTTAGTGTACAAAATGCAAGGACTAAAATAACAACATTTCAATGTGAAACAATTTTAAAAGTTGGTATGTTTGTCTTGTAGATTTAGTAGCCATCACAGAAAACAAAATTCCTGCGCAAAAGTATAATTTATATAAAGTAGACATCACAGGCTATTTACCTAATTTTTTTTTTTATGTAGCCATTTTATCACCAATCTCTGCCAAATATTGGATTAAAATTGTGTTGTTTTTTTTTCTCTATTTTAGCATATACACATATAACAAGGTTTTTGTAATGTGTATTTTATAAAGCTGGTGTGCTATTCCTGCACAGAACCCCATATTGTGTTCAGTTACATCTGTGGAGTATAATGATACCTCTATTGTATACCTTTTGGCACTATTCTGTGAAGCTACAATGCCATATAAGAGACTAGGCTATTTCAGTTTCTATAGTTACAATTTTCATAGATGGATTTGACAGGCCTATGTCTCAATTTGGGATATTATAGCAGTTTGACTGTTCCAATAACCCCACAAAGGGCTTCCATTTGATAAAGCACACACTCATGGGTATCTTGTATGGTATATATTGTGCCATAACTTGTCACCATTTTCCCGCCAATGTTTGTGGTGAAGGGCAATAAAATATTATCTTACACTTGATATGTGCCAATGTCATAAAAAAAACAAATTATGTTCAGTTACATCCTCTGAGTAAAACAGAATGCCCGATGTATGACCTAGACACTATTTTGTTAAGTTACAGGGCTTTAAAAGAGGTGTGACAAGTTCAGGTTTTTAAGTGTGAGTTTAAATGGAGGGTTTTGATGCGTCCGTGACCCACTTTGGTGCACTTTAGCAGGCTACATATTCCAACTACACTATAAAGGCATACCGTTTCTTAAAGAAGACATCCCATGGTATTTCAGAAGGCATATTTTGAACCTTAGTGTGGGATCATTTTTTCACTAGCTTGTACCAAGTGCAGTGATAATAAGCATTTTTATCTGCCTTTTTGACACTCAAGTGTAAGTTACCTTGCATCCTGTGGGCACCGGACACAAAGTGTCAAAATCACCATTATTTGCCTTTGCAAATTAGGCAAAGACCACACAAAATGACACAGCTGCTTTAAGCTTTTTTTTTTTTTTTTTTTAATTTATTTTCTAACGGTTTCTTATAAAAAATAAAAAAAAATTTGTTTAAAGATTAAACCCTTTTTGTGAAGTGCCAGGGCTGGCGTCTGTATTATATTGGATATCAGTATGTGGTATGAGGCATCCTTTATTTCTCATTTAAATCTGTAGCACTAATAGTGTGGTTTATGGTTATGTTTTTGTTTTTTAATCCCTTGTCCAGGAAACTAAAATGGAGAAGGCAGCTGGAGCTTTTGAAAATTTTCCCATTTCCAAAGAAACCATAACCAATCTCAGAGGTAAGATTTTGTTTGTGTGTGTATAGTAAATATCAAGGTGAAGTAGTGGTGGGGATTATTCACCTGTCTTGCTGTGGTCTGAAATTTCTTGGATGAATTCCATTTTGTTTTTCTTTCATATTGGAGATTATTCGTTGGCTATAATTATTGCTGGAGCACAGTTTTGCTAAATATTGTCTACAATGTAACTGCAAATAATATAATGTTTAATTCTTTCAACAGCTAAAGGAGTCTCTTACCTGTTCCCCATCCAAACCAAAACATTCCACACTGTATACAGCGGCAAAGATGTGGTGGTCCAGGCTCGCACTGGTACGGGGAAAACATTTTGTTTCGCAATTCCTTTAGTTGAAAAGTTAAATGAGGACAAGGAACCATTGGCCAGAGGAAGACCACCCAAGGTATGGGTACCTGTTCATTAAGAGTTCTGGTTTATATGTTGATTTTTCTTGGGGGGGGGGGGGTGAGGCAGCAGTCATGTTAGTTTGTATGTTGTTTTGTAACATTTGTATATTTTAATACTTTAGATTACGTAAGTGAAATTATATTATTTTGGAAAATTGCGTTGGTTAGAAATTCAGATTTAAAGGGACATCATAAACACTACATCTCAATGTGGACGTTATGTAGATTAGTCTTTTCAGTGATAGTTAAAAAAAAAAAAAAAAAAGCACTTCTCCTTGGCTTTATTAATAATGTTGATCTCATTGAAAGGCTGTGTGTGATAGGCTAACCAGCGTCCAGCACTCCACTGGCAGATTCTGGGTGCTTCAGAGACCTCGTATTTTAGGTTGTTGTGTTTTTTTTTTTTTTTGTTTTTTTTTAAGAATCTGTCAGACAAACACCAATCTATAGACTCTAGGCCAGGCTTCCCCAAACTCCGACACTCCAGATGTTGCTAAACTACAACTCCCATGATTCTATGAATGAAATGGGCTGAGAATCATGGGAGTTGTAGTTCAGCAACATCTGGAGGGCTGGCGTTTGGTGAAGCCTGCTCTAGGCTATATTTAAGATGCTTGGTGCTGCATTGAAGGAACACTATAGTGGTAGGAATATAAACATGTAGTATTCCTAACACTATAGTGACGGAGAGGCTATTCAGGTGTCCTACCCCCTCAGATTGCAGTGAAATGCTATTTAAATCCTCTTTTTACCCCCACGTCTAGCTGTGTCTGGCTCCGCTTCCATGGCTGAGATTATCAATCTTAATCTCAGCCTATCCAATGCTTTCCAATAGGAAAGCATTGGAAGGTTATTGTGCACATGCAACAAAACGCCAATTGGCCTTTCCTCACACAGATGTATTAAATCGGCTCCCTGGAGAATGCTCAGCGTCTCCATGCAGAACATGGAGATGCTGAACGCCAGTGCCAACACTGCAGGAACAGGCTATATACATCTGAACCATTACATTAAGCTGTAGTGGCTCAGGTGAGTATAGTGTTCCTTTAATTTCACACCTTGTTTGCTAGTGCTATTTGTTAGTAAACCTTCCTCACCTCGGATTTCTTGTGATTGACAAATTGCAGCAGATTGGTTGCTTTTGTGCTGTGCTAGATATTTCATAAACTGACGGAACTATGATTTTGTCAAAAACGGTTTGGAAATAAAATCTGGCTTTTCTAGTCTGTTTATGGTGAAGTAGCTCTTTTCTTGTTATTTCTCAGATTCTAGTTCTCACACCCACCAGAGAACTTGCCATCCAGATCGCAAATGAATTCCGTGCTATCTCAAAGAAACTGAAGATTTGCTGCTTCTATGGTGGAACACCTTATCAGCAACAAGGTACGTTTTATTTATTTGTATTTTTTTTGTATGTTAATTGGCTGCTGTGCTTAGAAGTAAAGACTTCAAATATTTAGTCCAATGCTGTCCATCAGTAGTATTTAATTATCTTTATTTTGTGAGCATAAACATTAGTCCTAATCTATCACTTTTTTATGGACACTGTGTAACTTTCTTCCTGGCATTTACTACTATGTATATTTAGCTTTAGTTTTGTTTTGTATCAGTACTTGATGTCTATTTCTGTCCCTGAGAGTGCATTGTGTTTCTTTTCCAGTATTCTCAATTAAAGAGGGCATTGATGTTGTGATTGGCACTCCTGGACGTGTAAGAGATCTTATCCAAAACTATCATCTGAATTTTGGCGTCCTGAAACATGTGGTTCTAGATGAAGTTGACATGATGTTTGATATGGGATTTGCTGAACAAGTAGAAGAAATATTGAGTGCGCGTTACAAGTCTGGTATGTTGACACTAAAAATACTTTTAGCAATGCATCCTTTCTGATTAAATTTTTTGATATTCTTATTTTAATGTGTTAATGTAACATAATGTTCCATGAGTATTTAGCTTACCATTTTTCATAACAGAATTTCATGTATAGTTGCCAAAACAACTTTAGCTTAATGTTGCAGTTTTGTTGGATAAATCATGGTCCTACAGTCTCACTGCTCAATTCTCTGCTATTTAGGAGTTAATAACTTTGTTTACGCAGCCCTAGCTATACTTTCCTGCATGTGACTTACACATCTTGCCTAAACACTTCCTGCTAAGTCATCTAATGTTTACACTTCCTTTATTGCAAACTCTGTTTAATTTGGAATTTCTTACCTCCTGTTCTGATAATGGCTTCCTAGACGTAGGAGGAGCCTCCTTTGTGTGATTAAAGTAAGTTACATCTGATTGAAAATGAAACCATTTTGTTTCCATGCAGACTGTGTTGGTTACAGTCAGGGGATGATTTGACTAGGGCTGCATAAACCGAAACAAAAGTGGCATGATCTGTACAGCAAAACTTTCATTAAACTAAAGTTGTTTTGGTGACTATGGTGTCCCTTTAAGAACAGTAGAAAACCATTCCTCCTACACGTATTAAGACATTACAGTATCCTTTCTGAGCATAAACACAGTAAAAGAATTACCGCATTATGACGAACTGTATGTTTTCCTTGATACTTACTTACGAATATATGATGCTACCTTAAAACATTTTTTTTTTTTTTTTAAATGCCTTACTGTTTTTTAAAAAATACTAATTTATCTATTTTTAATAAAGATCCTACAGAGAATCCTCAGACCCTACTTTTCTCTGCGACATGTCCCAACTGGATGTACAACGTTGCTAAAAAATACATGCAAACAGAATATGAAAAAATCGACCTTGTGGGACACAGGAGTCAGAAGGCTGCAATTACTGTGGAGGTTAGTCCTGTTTTATTGGGAGGGGGCTAAAAAAAAAATCTTTATTTTTTTTTTTTTTTTTAAAGTGCTGATTTGAATCTCGTGTATATGTATGTATAATTTTTTTTCATATTTCCAGCATTTAGCCATAGAATGTACAAGATCCCAAAGAGTCCATGTTCTTGGTGACATCATTCAAGTCTACAGTGGACGTCTAGGAAAAACCATTGTGTTCTGTGATTCCAAGTTAGAAGCTCATGAGTTATCTACCAACTGCGCATTAAAACAGGTTTGAATATTTTATTTTTCTCTTTTGTAGCATTCCATGAAAAAGTCTTTATTTTTTCATGTCAAAGACAAACTTAATTTTCCTGGATTTCCAACCACTTTGTTTCTGTTGTTGCAGAGTGCCAAACCTTTACATGGGGACCTCCAACAGAAGGAACGTGAAGTCATCTTGAAAGGATTCAGACAAGGAACCTTTCAGGTTCTTATTGCAACCAATGTAGCTGCTCGGGGGTTGGACATTCCAGAAGTTGACTTGGTCGTCTTATATTCTGCTCCAAAGGTGACAAATTGATTTTAAGGTTAGCTGTTTTAGTCTATAGAATTAAGTTCTCTATTTTATTTATATTGCCTCTCCCCTCTGTTCATAGGAGGCAGATGCATATGTTCATCGTTCAGGGCGCACAGGCAGAGCTGGGCGAACAGGAATCTGCATATCTCTCTATGATCCGAGAGAAAGTTATTGTCTGCGCAATGTGGAACGAAGCACGGTATGTATAGATCTGGGTAGCCAGGACTTGGAGTAAACTTTTACTCGTGTCTGTATATGACAATCTATATGTAGATACTTGAGACCACCACCCATAGGCCAATTACAGGACAAGAAACCACTACCCTTTCAGTACCTTGAAACCACCTAGAGCACATTTTTGGGTAGTTGACAAACTATAACATTTAGTGAACCAAACTCATGACTTGAATTCCAGAGTTGCACAGATATCAATAGCCACAGGTTGGGAAAGGTGTTTACATGTATCACAACACAATATTTGTAAAAAGAAAAAGAGAAACCGGTTGCGCCAAATACAGAGAGGGTCTTTTCTTGTATAGTATTTTTGGGTTGTTAGGGTACCCAAGTTTGTGTTTGATGCCCACCAGAGTCAGCTCTGTATCTATTCCACCTATTGTTTGCTTACAACAATAAATATCACCTTTAGGCATAGGAGTGGATTGTGTATAACATTACAACATAAAGTAATGTTTTTGGCAGGCAAAAAAGGTGAAAAGCTTGCTGGATAAAATTCACTTCTATAATGAAAGGACAGATATTGAACTAAAAGTTGTATCTGTAAATAGACCTCTTCGCTTCAAAATGTAAATGCAGATGGCGAATAGTCATATTGGTGCACTGAGACCCGTGCACTACTGCCGTAAAACATTACAAGGTTTATAATGCATGGTATGATGGCACCCACAATAATGTATGACACGTAAACACTTGAAAGCACTATATACCCTTTTAAATAATCGTATTTATTGTAGTTTTCAATTATTTTTTTTTGTGTGGAAACTTGTAACTTGTTTTGTGAAGTGACAGATCAACTTTACAATAATGTTTTTACTAGGTATAAAGTCTTTCATTGGTCGTGTCTTTAAACGGTTTAGTAAATTCACTGTGCCTCATATATTGTATTTGTTTAAAAATGTCTAAATCTGTATAGGTTTTAAAGCAAGTAAACAATTTGATTTGTTTTCTCTAGGGAATCACATTCAGACGTGTTGGAGTGCCCTCCCTTTTAAATGTTGCAGAGTCATCCAGTGCTGATGCAATAAAGTAAGGCAATTTACTGTATTCCATTTGATCTTTTCCACACAAACCATAACCAGGGAAAACAAAACACAAAAAAGTTAATTTGTCACGGTCAAAGTTTTGTTACATTTGTCCAGGATAGCATCCTGCAATAACTTAAAAAAAACATATTAGAATTATACCACTTTAATAGATTTCCTTGTAATTCAAAAAGTGTTATAGTTAAATATCCACGTGAAACTAGTAATAAATATGTTAAATTGGCAATTGGCTTGGCTGAGAGGGCGCACAGCTTTGCAGCTTCTTCAGCCTTCGTTCCAAATAGGCTTCTTACAATGACTAAAGATGTAAAAACTCTGTTTTCAAGTCACTTGTCCGGGGGTCCCAATAGCAACAGGCCAGAGATTGTCCTGATATTTTGATCTACCAGGCTGGAGATGCATGGCTAAGGAGAGGTGATTGCTATTGCTATTCCATCAATCCTCGACTACCTGTGAGCCCCCTACCTGTAAACTTATAGCTGCGTAAGCTAGGGAGAAAGGGAATTAAACCACACGTCGCCTCATGTGCAGGGACATAGCTGCTGATGTGTCAGCAATTGAAAGTTTCTGCCATACTTGATCCAAGAAGAAAGCAGTATCTTTGAAATGGTGCCAAAAGCTGAGGATTTGTTTGGTACTATTTATTGATTGACGTGCATTCCTACAGGGGGTTATCCACTAGTGGGGATTCCAAGTGAACATCAGATATAGGGGCAAAATAACCAACCTGTGGGCATAGCTGACTTTTTATCCAGTTCAGATATTATGACCTTGAATTTGAAATTCACTTTAAATTTTCTTTTAATAATTCTGCTAGACTTGCTCTAGGCTGATAAAGGTAGGGTACTCAGCTGAAGTCTGAACTGCATATTGGTTATGTTTCTTGGCCTTCTTTTGACATTTAAAGAAACACGAAGGGCACCATTAACAAGTTCATTGAAATTAAGTTGCTTTGGTAATAAAAGGTCCCTGATGCTGGCTTACCTTTTAGGGGTTAAATTATTCACAAACGGTTTAACCACAAAACCTTTTCTCCGGTGTCTGATCGATCTGCCCCCTTCGACATCCGCTTGCTGTGAAGAGCTTGAAAACAGAAGTCACAAGCCGGGAAGGCACTGATTGGCTTAGTGGTCAGCTGATACTCGTAGCCAAGCAGTGGCTGCCTATTCATAAAAATTGAGAAAATTGCATGCTTGTTTTCGAGTGATTATACAAATGACACTCTAGTTTTGTTTTTTTAATAATAATAATGGTTCCCCCGGCCCCCCTCTAGCCACTTACCTTAATCCAGTGCTGGGCTCACTCTGCGCTGGTGACCTCTCCTTCCCCTGCCAGAGATGCGCGCGCATTCAAACCTGCCCATAGGAAAGCATTACTCAGTGCTTTCCTATGGGGATTTTATTTGACACTGGACTCCGTGAGGACGTCCAGCGTCATTTCAGTGCGAATTCTTTTTTTAATGAAAATCGTGGAAGCAGCCTCTAGTGACTGTCGGGTAGACGGCCACTAGAGGCTGGATTAACACTGCAATGTAAACAGGGGGACCTAGCACTCGGACCACTTCATTGAGCTGAAGTGGTCTGGGTGCCTATAGTGATCCTTTAACTCATTAAGGACCAAACTTCTGGAATAAAAGGGAATCATGACATGTCACACATGTCATATGTCCTTAAGGGGTTAAGTTTGTTGAGATAGGAGTTCAGAGAGTCTTTCAACTGTTGACTTCTTAGGTGTGAGGTGCAACTTTTTTTTATCTGTATCTAAGGTTTTGGTACCAAACAAATAGTTTACAGCTCCTTGCTAAAAGAACATGTTGCATGCAATATGTATTTTTTTTAAAGAACATTTATTGACGTGTAAACAGCATCGCGATTTTGGAATAAATGTTCCTCCGGAATTATTATGCAATCAATTATTATGAATTCTATGCACTTTCCTTACAAAGTCTATTTCCAGCTACCTCGGTTATTAAATGCTTAGGGGTTTTTGTTTTGGTTTTTTTTTCACCATTTGAATGCCAAACTTCCTGCTGGGACAATAAAATTACTTCTCTAGAATACAATGTTTTATCAATAACTTTTTTTTTTTTCTTCCTTTTCCCACCCTCTCTCACTCCTACAGATCATTAGAGTCAGTTCCAGCTGATGTAGTAGAACATTTCAAAGGATATGCTGAGGAGCTCATTGAGAAGAAGGGAGCTCTAACTGCCCTGGCTGCAGCATTGGCTCATATATCTGGAGCTACCTCAATCGCACAACGTTCCCTCCTCAACATGGAACCAGGCTTTGTGACTGTAGTCTTGCAGAGTTCTGTACCCATCAACACAATAAGCTATGCATGGAGATCTATTAAGGAACAAATGGGAGAGGAGATTGATTCACAAATCCATAGAATGTGTATGTTGAAGGATTCCATGGTAAGCCTTTAAGACCTCTTACTGCTTTTAATGTTACTGGATTATATTGACTAACAAACTGTATTTTTATTTTATCTATTTTTTTATTTTATTTTTAAATCTGAGTATTGGCAAGAAATGTTAATATAGCAACAACCTTTAAGTAACTGACCATGACTTCAAATACACAAAAGTGCATACTGTTGGCTTCAGCGAATGTAAAGGTCATTAACAATAAATATATGCTTGTAAGACATGAGTCTCATGGGGCACCAGCAGAGGTTGAATAATCCATAAATAAGAATATATTCTCCCACACATCCTTCCACAGTCCAGTTTAATTTAATTTATCTTTATTCAAATAATGCACAAGGCTTAATTTCCATTCTCCATTGGCATTGACCCTTATGTACATGATACTAATTCCTGCTGCAATTGGCCATTTTAAGTGTCAAGTATTAGTAAGCCAGCACAAAGACTTTACTTTTATACCACTTTTTTATTGTTGAAATATTGTGGTATAGGGTGGGGGTGTCTATTCATCAAAGATGTCTTGCATAATTTAGGGAAAATGGTAGATCATTTAAGTGAATGAATAATAATACAATCAGATTGAAAGGATTACCCTTTATCTCATGCAAGATCCTAATTTGGGCAAAATGTAACAAGGGACGTAGGTTCCATTGTAACATCTTGCCATTTTCCATCACTGGTTCCTATTGCTCCAAACAAGCTGTAGTTTCCTTTTCACTGCTATAGTTCAGCTCTACATCACAATATCCTTCATTGCTATAGGTTGCTGTATGTATACTCATAGATTTATTTTTTTAAGGAGACTGGGTATACACCATGCACATTTTGTTTCAAAAACAAACAAAACTGAAGCTTGCATGCAGGTAATGCATGGTCCATTACCTTGTGTAGATTTTTTTTTTTCCATGCCATTAAATTTAGTAAATTGTGGTTGGTCTGCTAGGGTCTGTACATTCGTTTTTACGGTTTGTATATGTGTGCATATTGTATAATGCGTCTCATTTCAGATATATAGATATTATGGGATTGAAATAGTCCTGCATATTTTGCAACTTAATCTGTATTCTTTTGTTTCCTTCTCAGGGTGTGTGCTTTGACATTCGGCCCGACACTCTCCAGTCTATGCAGGTAGGTTTCCTATTCTCTAAACTTTAAGGTGCCAATGTGTGTCTTAACCATCTAGTTTAACATTAACAAGGAAATGCCCGGCAAATAAAAAAAAATAGTATTTCAGTGCATGTAACTAAATTAATATGAAGGTGAATGCAAACTTGACCAACAGATCAAAGTGATACTTTAAAATAAAAAGAAAAGAGAAGCCGCAATGGTGGTAGGATTTTGGTAGTAGAAGAATGAAGCCCAATGCATGCTTGATAGGAAAGAAAAAAGAATGCAGAAAGCTAAACAGAAGAAAAAGTAAAGTGGCATTAAAGGAGTGAATACTGATGGACAATATGCCATTTGATAGTAGTGAACTCTTGTTTCTGAACCGGCCACGCCAAACATTAAATAGGGTACCCTAGTCTGAAAGCACCATCCAAAATTACATGGAAAGTCTTCTGAAGAAATAAACGAATTACCCCAACAGAATTATCTAGGGCTGTTTGTTAGATAATACTAAGGAAATGATAATTATCTTGTGGTTTTTCCAGCCACGATCCAAACCCCCAAAGGTGGTAGGCAAAGCATCTTCCAATAAAACTGTCAAGAGATTTGGCCTTAAATTTATGAAGAATCATGGCTTTATTTTATATTAAGTTGGTAGAGCAATTTTATGTAAGATCATGGTTGCCTGTTCGAAGGTACATTTATCAGAAGTTCTGGAAGACTTCAGAATTCTGCCTTTCTGGACAGAATGGCTGTCACTTCCATATTTGGAAAGGTGTATCCTCCTTGCCTTACATCTTACATCTGTCAGACTAAATTTTGGTACCGGTGTTAGAGAAGTGTATATGAAGTCTCTAGTGGACATAAAATATGGTGTCATCTTACAGTGAGATGCTTAACATTTGCTCCCAAGTATTTCAGCATTTAAACAAAAATTACTAGATCCAGAAAACGCATATGTTGATGGTACAAGCACTGTATAATGTCTGTCAAATTTCCTTCAATTATTTGGCTCGCAGGTATGCAACAACAAATCTGGATCAGACAGTCCAACCAGTAGGAGCTTTCTTGCACTTGGCTAAAAGACTAACACCTGAAGGGCAAATATTTGCTTCTACTGGATATGAGACAAAACTATTAATGCAGATACCAAAAACTTTTTAAACTCTGAAAACTTTTAAAATGGCATTTGATTAGCTTTTTTTTGTTTTATTATTCTATATATTCTCCATTGTTTTTTGGAAACCATGTTGGAATGTATTGCAGGCAATGTGTACCAGAAATGCCGTATGCCTGTCCTTTTGGTTTGCAGTTTAACAAACTGAAATACATATTTGCAGAGCTTGACAAGCCTCTGGAGTTTAGCAGCCAACAATTACATATTTAGGAGATAACCTATTTTAGGAGCCATTGAAGGGATAAATGTATACTGTTGAAGCACTCAGTCAGTGGTTTGGGGCTAAGAGTACATTTTTGTAGGACCTATAGTGCCAGTAATTCATTGAGCTATTTGAAAAAGTATAGCTACAGATAGCAGCAGCATGTTTATAATTTCATTTATATGATGGTTTTGTTTTTTTTCTTTCACTCCGTAGGAAAAATGGACAGATTCCAGACGTTGGCAGTTTACAGTGGCTACCGTACTTCCTAATATACAACCATCTAGGTCAGACATGAGCGGACCAGGAAACCGAAGCTTTGGTGGCAGAGGAGGAAGATCAAATGACAGACGAAATTCATCATTTGGAAGACGAGGCCGTGGAGGCAGAGGTGGAAGAGGTTCTGGAGGAAGAAGTTCAGGTGGTGGATTTAGACGAGGACGTTAAATACCACGGACTTGAATTAAATTAATTTTTCTATTCTGTTATCGGAAAACCCTGCAATGTACTGCTAAAGTTTACTGCCATTCGACCAATTGCTGAAACATCCTTTGTACTTTTAACTTTTGGTAACGCTTTATCCACTCGATTATTAAAGCTGATGTTACAAAGCCCTTAATAAAAAGATATAATCTTTGTATGTTTCTTATCGTCTATAGCTGATTAAACATCTATTGCTGTTTTGAGGGATCCGTATTAAAAAAAAAAAAATTTAAACTGCAAAAGGAAGAAGAAAAATTTCTAAAATAAATTTTTGAGTGAAAGCTGTTTTATTAAGTTCTGACTTGGTTACCATACACGTGCTGTGCAGTGTAGTTGAAATACACGTATTTCCCAAATCTTGGTTTTTTGATTATTATGGTTGCCTGAAGCAGCAACTGAATTTTTTGCTTTACATACGGAGTTGTGTGCTGCTTAACAAATCCTTTACATTTTATTCACTAATGCAAACAAAGATGGAATATATTAATACATCTTTACTCAATATTTGGCAACCTTCCCAACTGATTACTCTCCTTATACCGATTAAATAAATTGAAAATGGAGTGTGCAAAACCCTTTTTTAGATTTTTCCATTAGTTTTATCATAAATATGACTTTCCTGTGGTTCAATTAAGTTATTGTGTCTTCCGTGCACCGGCTCATATTCATTTTGTTTTTTAAAAATATTTCTCCTCCCCATAACATTGGGTGACTAGGTATGTCAGCGTTGTGTATTGGGGTGGCTATTATGCATGTTATGCATATTTTAAAGTCCCCTCCCTCCCTACCTACAATGTTTGCTGCTGGCTAATCAGAACACATGCTCCAGGATTGCTTTATTCAGGCTGGAGAGCCTTATCTCTACATTTTCCTGCCCCCGCACACTGAACATAGTGATCTATGCATGGCCGTAGCCCCTCAAACTGATCACCATAACTTGTATGGCCCCGCCCCCTCAGATTGACCAAATTAATCCATGCATGACCCCACCCCCTCAGACTGAATATGGTGATCCATGCATGACCCCGCACCCTCGGACTGAACATGGTGATCTATGCATGACCCCGGCCCTTCAGACTGAACATTGTGATCTGTGCATGACCTTGCCGCCTCTCACTGAACATGGTGATCTATGCATGACCCCGCCGCCACTGTGATCACTTGTTGGGGAGATTATTGGGGTCAGAATGGAAAACTCTAATTCTATTATTACACATACTACAGATTATTCACGCATGCAGATACTACCAACAGAGTAGTTATCAATGCCATTACCAAGACCATTATACCAATAGGACATTATTGATTAACAAAAAAAAAATGAGTTGGAATAACAATTTAACAGTGAGTCAAACATGAAGGCACATTAGGATAATTTATAAACACTCTCCCCTGAGTGTAACCGTGTAGGTGGTGATGGCATAAATAATCAATTAAACATGGCCTGTATTTTTTATTTTTCTTCTCCAAGCCAAGAAAAGTGGCCACTCTATGGACAAGTCACTTTAGAACTGTTATTATGAAAGAAATGAGTGCACCTCCTCAGTTTTCTTTGTGGGGGAAAACATTTTATCTTCACTTTGGCTAACATTATGTACACATAAGATATACTTCAGCCTTCTTGATCGTTTCACCATAGTTCTATTACATTTAAAACTTTTTTTTATTGGTAATTAGTATTTCATAAAGATAAATGAAATACTCTTATTGACTGTGTTGGAATTTCAATCCAGTCAAGAGATATACTGAGATAAAGTACGAACTATTTTGACCGCTGCAGTGAATTAGCTCTGTCTTTGGACCATGGTCTCACTGGATTCTCCATAGACCTCAACGATGGCGTACAGCAATGATGTCCGCTCCTGGTGCTGAATTGGGCCCGCCAAAACAGGTTGGCTGCGCCTGCGAGGGACAGGTTAAAGTATGTAGAATTTACCTTTAACCATTCACCCTTGGCCACCACACCCACAGCAGCGATGTCACCGCCGGGGGTCTTCGCAAATTAGAGAAAGTCCCTATTGGTTACAGTGTTGCTTTAACTGTGCGAGCTGGGCCCAGAATCTGAAATAAGAGTACACCATATTAATATTAAATGCCTGTTTTAGAAAAATACCTTTTTTTTTTTCTGTTAATTGTGAACATGCAATGAGTTGCTTTACTTTTCATTTTTTACTAAACTCAAAAACCCTGCAATGGAATTACAAAAATGTGCGAATCCCTTGTCAATTCTCCACAATTCCCAGTTTAATAAATGTTTATAAAATAATCAGAGGCCATTTTCCTCCTAGTGTGACATGGTCACAGCCCTGCCCAGCCCACACCAGCATGTTACTGCCGTAATCCGCGCTGCTGTCGTGACGGTCGTACAGCTGCATCACTGCCGTATTCTGCGGACGCGATCCCAGCTGAGAGCAAGATGTCGGACAGCTGGCGCCTGGCCTGTGACACCTACCAGCTCGCCGTCACCGCCTCGGAGGTGGAATCCCGGACTGACCCGGAGAATGAGCCCTACCGCTCCAAGTACCGGGCCCGCGAGCTGCTGCGGGAGGTGCGGGCTCTGCTGCGGCCCCGGGAGGAGGGGGAGGACCGGCTCCTAGCGGCCCGGCTCGGGGTGATCGAGTACAAACTGGGGGTGAATCACACGGAGACCGAGGAGATGTCCGCCGGAGAGGAGCATCTAGTGAAATGCGGGAGGATCCTGGAGAGATACCGGCTGTCAGAGGACTGTGTGTCCACCTACATCCAGGCTCAGGTATGGCTGAGTGTCCGCCTGCATCCAGGCTCAGGTATGGCTGAGTGTCCGCCTTCATCCAGGCTCAGGTATGGCTGAGTGTCCGCCTTCATCCAGGCTCAGGTGTGGCTGTGTGTCCGCCTGCATCCGGGCTCAGGTATGGCTGAGTGTCCGCCTGCATCCAGGCTCAGGTATGGCTGAGTGTCCGCCTACATCCGGGCTCAGGTATGGCTGAGTGTCCGCCTACATCCGGGCTCGGGTATGGCTGAGTGTCCGCCTTCATCCAGGCTCAGGTGTGGCTGTGTGTCCGCCTGCATCCGGGCTCAGGTGTGGCTGTGTGTCCGCCTGCATCCGGGCTCAGGTATGGCTGAGTGTCCGCCTGCATCCAGGCTCAGGTATGGCTGAGTGTCCGCCTACATCCGGGCTCGGGTATGGCTGAGTGTCCGCCTACATCCGGGCTCGGGTATGGCTGAGTGTCCGCCTACATCCGGGCTCGGGTATGGCTGAGTGTCCGCCTGCATCCGGGCTCGGGTATGGCTGAGTGTCCGCCTGCATCCGGGCTCGGGTATGGCTGAGTGCCCGCCTGCATCCGGGCTCGGGTATGGCTGAGTGCCCGCCTGCATCCGGGCTCGGGTATGGCTGAGTGCCCGCCTGCATCCGGGCTCGGGTATGGCTGAGTGCCTGCCTGCATCCGTGCTCGGGTATGGCTGAGTGCCTGCCTGCATCCGTGCTCGGGTATGGCTGAGTGCCTGCCTGCATCCGTGCTCGGGTATGGCTGAGTGCCCGCCTGCATCCGGGCTCGGGAAGGCTGAGTGCCCGCCTGCATCCGGGCTCGGGTATGGCTGAGTGTCCGCCTACATCCAGGCACTATTTGCTGAACTCTGAATTTTCACAAAATAAATCTGAAAGGAGGATTGGAGGCAAAACTAGCTAATGTGAAAAAATTCTGCAATAACTCTGCAATAGTCACAACATGACTATTTATTTTTATCTAAATTTTGCCGTTTTGATTTATTTTGCAAAAATTCAATGTCTTGCGAATTACCATGAATGTTTTACCCCCTGCCCTCCCATAGTCTCCATCTTTTTCCACATTGTGTGATGTCATCTGTGTTCAGGATGTACTGGCAGTGTGTGATCTACGAACGGGGAATACTGACTGTGCTTGGAGCATGTGTGGTATGTGATGGCTGTATGTGCGCTATGCAATATGTATATATTTGTTTGTACAATAAAGATTATGCTTTTTTTTTCCCCCCATAAGTTTTAAAACCTCTTAGAATTTGACTGCACATAATATATATTTTAATTTTATTACAGAATAATCTTGGAATTCTCTGGGCTGACAGAGGTGAAATAATTGTGGCACAGACATACTTAGAATCTGCAGAATCCTTATATTACCAATACATGAAAGAGGTGAGTCTAATTTTTGGGTTCAAATATATATGGATACATAAGAATGCAGACCAGACAGGAGTAAGACATTACGTTGTGGTCATATAGCATTAATTAAATTTGGTCTGCCATTCCTTAATTCAGGCAAAATTGAACAAAACAAACAAACCAACTGCCAGACAGACTTGTGTCTCAATAAAATTGATGCCCAATACAAGTGAATCGTTAGCACTAGACTTGTGTAGAACTAAAAAATGGATTCCTCCATATGACTCTTCGGTTTGAAAGAAACTCATCAATGTAGTAGGTTTAGGAAAAACTATAAGTTGCGTGAAAATGTTCCTATTATTGTACTGCAGTGCAAAAACTGCTAAAATAATGGCTAGGCATTTTTGTAATGCTAATTGTGTGTTCTCATAACTATATTATATCTGTGGACACAGGAAAAAAAAAACCCCAACACTTTCTACAAAGAGTTCAGAAAAAAAAAGAAAGACCTGCCACAATTGTGCAGTAAACTACCACACACTGTATTGCAATTTGCAATGTACAAGCAGTGTCGATGAAGCACAGTGCAACAGCAAAAATTAAATAAATAAATGCCACACTCGATGCATGCAGGCTCAATGCAGCTATCTAGCACACTGTATTGCAATTTGCAAAGGCTGTATCATTGAAGTACTCTGCACATCAAATAATCTTTAAAAAATAAATAAAACACAAATCAGTAAAATGATCAGTAAATCAAAGTTGGTGTAAGTGGCTGTGTAACCACCTCACCAGTCTCCCAGTATGATCAGTGACATAGGGTCCCAGACAGGCAAAGCAGTGGTGAACATACATAATCATAGCTGGTCTTACTCCCTCAAAAGCTGCAGTCACATTGTCTAGAAGAATCCTGCTTGGAAATATATTGGTGTTTTTTTTTGTTTTGTTTTTTTACTGCTTCCTCTCTATTGGTCACTTCCCAATTGATCTGTAAATTAAATCAACCTTTAGTGGCCCTTAAGCATCAATTATTTTTTTCCTAACTCTTTATTGGGCTGGAGATACAGCCCACATCAATTCTATCGTAGCTAACTAATGTAAGCCCCCAAAAAAACAACTGCTTCCTTTCCCTCCCTCTTTTTCTGGTGTCACGTACAGAATTATGGAACAAACAAAATGGCTCGTCCACTGCCAGTTTTATTTATTTCTGCATAAGTCTATTTGGAGATGGGGAATTCGAACAAATCATGATCGTCCAAAATTTGGACGAATCACCATAAATTTGTGACCAAATTACCGACCCCCAGGAAATCGTTATCCCACCATAAGATTAAAGGGATCCTATAGTGCCAGGAAAACAAACCTGTTTTCCTGGCACTATAGGCTCCTGGAGTGCCCCGCTCCCCTCGGGGCTGTAGGGGTTATAACCCCTTTGGCTACTTACCTGCACCAGCACCGATGTCCCTCGATGCTGGGTCAGGCTCTGCCCACACTCCTCCTCCTGGCTGCCCGCGCATTAGACCTTGGCTGCCGCTGGAGGTCCTTGAGGACGTCCAGTGTCAGATAACGGACCAACAGTACGTTTTGGATTCCGTAAGCCCTCTAGTGGCTGTCTGTTAGAAAGTCACAGAGGGCAGACTTAGAGCTGCAATGTAAACATTGCAGTTTCTTTGGAACTGCAATGTTTTACATTGCAACACTAAGTGCAAAAGGGTCACAGCACCCAGACCACTTCAGTTAGTTGTAGTTGGGTCCGTGCAATGCGGGATTCCACGTATCAAATGTGGGGATCAACTACTTATTGTTGGACTCTGACAACACCTTGCCTGTGGGTGACACACAATAGTTATACATGACACATGCTGTTATCTCAGGTACAGCTTATATTAATCCTGCTGAATTTGTTTTAAAGAATCAAATAAAATGGGTTAATTTGACACTTCTATTGACTTGCCATTAAACCCATTTTCTGTATGTATATTTACATTTTGTAGATTGGCAAACCTCCAATGGATCCTGATGATCATTTCTTATCTGAAGAAAAACAGCTGACTGAACAAGAGAGATCTAAGAGGTAATGGTCTCCTACTGCTCTACACCAGTGTTAGCCCATTAAGGACTTGGCAGTCATGCACATCAGAAAATTCTTGTCTCTTAGCAACCATATTCAGATGTGGAATGTCCTCTCCTTTAGTGCCCACATTGCTTTGCAGCATAAAAAAAGCAGATCTTTGCAGACTGGGTGTCATTTTAGAAACATTCTGATTTCATAGATGTGGATCCTTTTTTAAGACATTAGTTTATGATGTAGGGATTTCTCAGTTCTTTTAGATGGATCCTTTTTTTTAGTTGAATACAATTGGCTTGCTGGGATGGATGATTGAGATTTAGGTTGGCAACACCTGCTCAAGGTGAATATTTTTTTTCCTTGTCATTAGGTTTTGATGGTCATTTTGTCATTTCAGGTTTGAGAGGGTGTACACCCATACACTTTACTATTTAGCACAAGTCTACAAACATCTAAAACAGGATGAAAAGTCAGCTCAGTATTGTCACACTACTTTGCAGAGACAACTGGAGTACGATGGATACAGCCCAGTTGAGTGGGCAATCAATGCTGCCACATTATCTCAATATTATCTTGCAAAGGTAGGAATTTCCTCAATGTTATAATTTACTTTACATTGTATGCAAATAAAACACTTCTTCTCTTCTTGAAAGAAGAGACAGATATTTTTAAATATGTTAAATACCACCCAAAATTGCAGAAAGCAAATGCAGGACAGATGTTAAAGTGGACCAGTCGAGAGCAGAGTGCATGTATACTGAGCTTACATCCATTTTCTAACTGACACAGATTCTATAGTTTGCTATGAGCATGTCATTGAATGTGCTGTTTATTTTTAAAATACTTTTGACTGATGTCTCCATGAAATGAAACACTGGATAAATAACCCAGTGCAGTGATTTGAGTCAGATTACTGAGATCAATTAGGCATCAGACATGTGATGCTGCAAAACAACCTTCAGTTTGTTTCTTAGCAACCATACAACTAACTAAACATGTAAGTAATTCCCAAATGTGAATGAGAAGCACTCAAAGCAACATAGGTGCAAGAACACATTTATTTTTTTTACAGCATTACACTAAAATATTTTTTGCCGCCTGCATGTGTTACGAAAAAAAACCTTAAAGCTGATTGTTTTATCCAATATTGGAAATGGTTGTAACGTTTAGAGGTATGCTACTAAGCGTATGTTGTTGAGGTTAAAGCGTCACTGTCACCGTCTGGGGACCTAATGTGCAAAGACCCCCTGACGGTGACATCGCCGCTGGTGGTCCAGTGGCCGGAGGAGAAGGAAAAGGTTAGATTTATTTTCTTGAGCCTGTCCATCGTGAGTGCCACAATTTTCTTCCGGACAGTCCTCCTTTGAAGTGGCTGGAGTCAATATCACTGCTGTACTCTCACGCATGCAGAAGAGTACTTTTGGACAACATCCCCCATAATGCTCGTACACCTGTAATGCTGGCAAAGCATCATGGGAGGTGTGGTCCAAAACATCTGGAGTGCCGAAGGTTGCCTGTGCCTGGTATAGACCATGCTTCTGAAGTCTCACTGCTCAATTCTCTGCCATTAAGGAGTTAAATCACTTACGTATATACAGCTCTAGTCACAGCTCACCTGGCTGTGACTCACACAGCCAGCATAAATTTTTTTTATATAATTTTCAGTCAACTGTTAACTTACTTTTGAAGTTTTTATCTTCTGCTCTGTTATTTAAACTTTAATCACATACAGGAGGCTCCTTCAATTTATAGCAAGCTATTAACCTTGCATGAGATAAGAAATTCTAAATTAAACAGAATTTGCAATAAAGGAAGTGTAAATATTTAATATCACTCTCATATATCATATTGAGAGTGATATTGAATATTTATATTTTTTATTTATTATTTTCTTCCGTTTTCAGCTTTTATAAAGGAAGTGTAAACCTTGGGTCTCACTTGACAGGATGTGTTTAGGAAGGCTGTGCACGTTACTTGCAGGGGAGGTTGCGACTAGGGCTGAATAAACAGAAACAAAAGTGATTTAACTTTTGAATGGCAGAGAATTGTACAGTGATACAGAAGAGGCTTAATCGGTACACAAAATCTGTACAGATCAAAGTTGTTTTGGTGTTTTGTCTCTTATTTGCATACTAGGTGCTAAAAACCGACTATTGTGATTCTTTGGGATTTGTCAAAAATGCTTATTAACGTTATTGAAAGCATAGATAATCAAATGCAAGTCCATAATCTACAAACAGATGACTAGTTCCAGCAAACATTTTAATTGAAAATGCATTTGTCCCTGTTTTCTCTGCAGCAATGTTACATGGAATCCAGACACTGCCTTGCAGCAGCAAATATCATCTTTAGCAAAGCAGAACAAGTGGTTTCCCCAGAGACAACAAAAGAAAGTATGTTTTACTTTGGTGATCATCTTTAAAATACTAATTTGTATATATTTGAAAGGAATTTTTTTTTAGAGATTATCTGCTACAATGCTACTAGATGGAAAATGGTCTCCCAGTCACATATAAACTGTTAATGATTTTGAAAATTGCACGTACACATAGGCTTGTAGGTCTGTAGAAGTTTGAGAAGACTACATGGACCAAGTATCTTTGGACTTTGGTAGAGTTGTGCTTTTGGGGCTACAGCCCTGAATTTGGTGTTGTCTAGCCCTGAATCTCATCAGGCACATGCTGTTTTTTTACCTGTATAAATCCTCACCCCTTATTGATGTATTTCCCTACCTGCGGACCACCTACACAACCCATTGGTCTACTCTGCACACTGCTTCCGATTCTGAGGAAAAGAGCTAGGACCGTTAAGCTAGTATCAGAACATGCTGTGATTATCAAATATAATACAGATAAAGGAACAGTGCACACATAAAAGTAAAATTTTAAAATTTATAAGGCTTCTTCAAAATCACCAATAAACAAATATGGGGATTCAATTTCACAATATGGCCATATTGTGTTAAGCCCACCATTACTTCACAATAGAAAGGTTTTGGATTGTAATGTCACTTTAATTATAATTTTTATAAAACAGGTATATGATATGCATTGGGAGTGTACGCATCAAAGCACTATCACATTAATTTTGCATTATATATATTCACAATGCTTTTACAACAGATGATTAAATTCCACATGTTTTCTTATTTAGCACTATTTAATTTGTCTCCTATGTTGGACTTAGTGTTGGATCCAGCGATATTGGGGTACTGTGAAGTAGTGGTGAGTTTATCACAACATGGTCATATGGTTGAACAGAACAACCACATTTGTTTGTTGAAATAGCTGATTTTAAGGAGCCTCATAAAATTTAACAATTATTTTTATGCATGCGCTGTTCCTTTATTGGTATTATGTATAAATTTTGGTCACTACGGCAGCACCATTCCTGAGAAATGCGTGTTCCTGGTGTGTCCCTAATTCCCTTTTTGTCTTGACAAACTTAACCTGCATTTTTCTTCGTGAAATGTTTACTGTTTTTATTTTGGGACTTTTATTACCTCCTTATTATTGATTTTGTTTTTTCAGATGAAAGTGAACAGGATCGTATAGAGTTTCTTGGGCAGAAGAAGGCAGAAATTGCCAGATGTTGGGTTAAATACTGTCTCAATTTATTGCAAGACTCACGTAAAAGTCTTGAGGTAATGTGCATTTTTTTTTAAAATTTTTTTTATTTTTTTTAATCCTTGCAATTGTGGTTGAATAAAGATCTTACAAACTTAATATTTACTAATGCACTACATATACTAACAAAAATTTAAAAAGCTTACCCTCACACAGCATACTGCTGTTCAAAATCGGCAAATAGGCATTGATAGCACTGTCTCTTTCAGATATCCCATCCATTTATATCGGCTGTCTTCATAATTACTGAGCAGTTTCACTATTTTGAGGCTCCTATGTATATGTTGGTATTGATTCAGTTTTAAAGGGATTCTATAGTGCCAGGAAAACAAAGCCGTTTTCCTGACACTATAGGGTTAATAGGTCCCCCCTCCCGCGGGGCTGAAAGGGTAAAACCACTTACCTGAATCCAGCACTGATGTCATTTGGCGCTGGGTCAGGCCTTGCCCACGCTCCTCCCCCGCCGATGTCAGCAGGTGATGGAGACCTAATGTGCATGTGCGGTAATGGCCGCGCGCTCATTAGACCTCCCCATAGGAAAGCATTATTCACTGCCTTGAGTATTGAGTGGAAATTTTGAGTGCTGTGTTTATTATTTTAATATGATTTGCAATAAAGTTTGTGTACAAGAAAATACACAAAATGTTTCCCATATTGCCTGGGAGTTAAGTAGCTGGAAACCCATTTAAAGGTTTACTTCAAGCATCAAAACCACCACAGATCACTTTGATGGATATGATTCCAGGAGTTTTCTGGCCCGATATTCCAGTAGTGATGCAGCCTGCTTTTTCAATGGTTTTTATATTTTCCTGGGTCCCCACCAGGTGCTTGGTGTCCTCTGGTGCTGGCCCATGACATCCAGGACCTGCAGTGCTGCAGAACCCAGATGCCAATCTCCCGCTCTTTCATTGATTAAGAATGTCAGCTGACTGCTTTCTGCCAACTAATTAGTATCTATGCATAGAAATATGCACAGAAGTGACATTAACCAGCCTCTTCTTCCAGGCTGGCTGTTGAAGACCCAATGATGCTGCTGGAGGTGGAGTTACACCTCCGTATGTGCAGCGTTAAGTAACAAAACACTTCATACGCAGATTTCAAAAACTAAAGTGGTTTTAGTGCTTGGAGTAACCTTTAAACGGATACTCCGCTGCCCAAATCCCCCCAAATTAAAAATCATTCTTTAGTAGATCTACCGCCAATAAAAACATGCATGCATTTAATTGGGCATTTTTTCATTGGGTGTATATCTAAAAACATAAAATACAAACACAATAGGTGGAGCAAATTATATACTTTCCTCTCTTCTCATTAGGTCCAGCAATGCTGCAAAGACAGAGAGGTATACAGTAGTCCAGATAACTCAAAACCATATATGTAAATACTGCTTTAAATAAGAATGCACCCACAAGAGTAGAGCCATATATATAACCTGGCTCTGGTATGGCTGGCCTTAGGATCTATAAGGGTGATCCAAATCCCCCTGTGGATAGTCTGGGTACCTGGTCTGGATACCTGGAGTGTTGAAATCTCCTCCCAGCAGTTAATAGCAGAAACTCCAAATGATGTTAAATTTAATTTATTAATAAAACACATGGATAAAAATAAATAGAAATAAAATCTATTAGTAATGTCCAATTTGTTGCCAAAACGCATTTTGCCTAATGTGGCTTCCTCCGTAGATTTTATTTCTATTTATTTTTATAGAAAATGGCACAATCTTTTTAAATCAAAGGCCTTATTTTTGGCAGAAACTTTATCTGGAGAGTATATGCTAGGATAGCTGAACATTCATTATTATATCTATCCACCGGCCTACAGATCTGGGGTTCTTTCACACTTTCATGTTTTTTTTATTTTTTTATTTTGTATTGCGTGCTCCCCTTGTGATTGTATACATGCAATTAAATGAAACCATCCTTATCTAGATCATATGCAACCGCTGCATGTAAATCAGAGCAGGTGCGTTATTTCAAAAACTAGTAACGATGCAATGAAAAGTCACAAGGTGGCAGCAAAATGCTTCTGTCAGTAGTGCATGTAGAATTGGAACTGTCACTAGGCAATAGTTTTTGATTCCCTGTTGATTTCAATGAGTACTTCTTTTATTAGGGCCACCTGAGAGCACACAGGCATCATAATCATTTAATATGAGGATCAAACCATGTAGTGGCTGATCTAAGATTATTTAATACGTCTGTTTGATATATTTTTTTCCAGTTGAGATTACTATCGTGTTTGCTAGCATATTTAATAAGATATCCTCTTAAAATGTGTTTCTGCTCAAAAATATAAGATAGGTGTGCTTAGGTATTCATATCTAATATACACCTTGAAAATAAATACAGGTATACATTTACAAAGGTAATGTTATTCTAAGTTACTGTTCAAGAGATAATTGTTTAAAGAAACACTGTAAGTACTCAAACTGTTGACTTGCTTGACTTATTACCTGGGATTCACTGACGGCTGCTCCCCATTTCCACTAGTAATGGTATAGAGCCATTAAATCCTTAGCAGCAACTCCACTTTGCATGAGGCCAGGCAAATCCATTCAATAGGTTCCCACTCACGCTAATGTCAGAAGAGGCATAGAGGTACCTCGACACTGGAATCAGGTTTGTGTTTAAAGGGATATTTTAAACCTTTATCATCCGGGGTGTGCGGGTGGAAACTGCTAGTAATACCAGTTCCTTTAAGGCAGACTAGTATGTTGTATTCTTGTTAACATGACATTCTTAATTTCTATCATAGGATAACATTGGAGAACTTGATGTTGACATTCAGGATGAACTTAAAGCCCAGAGACGAAAAGAAGAGGATGAAAAAGAGAGAGGTCGGAAGAAGGCAGTTCTCTTTGGATCAAGTGATATATATGATTCCATACTTGCTGTAGAAGAAAAAGTTGACTGTTCCTATCCGCTAGATTTCAAAGAAGCAAGAGAGGTGTTCCTAATTGGACAGAATTATGTCAATGAGGCAAAGGAATATTTTCAGCTGGATGGTCATGTAACTGACCACATTGAGATAATCCGGGACCACAGCGCACTCTTTAAGGTTCTTGCTTTTTTTGAGGATGATTATGAAAGGCGCTGTAAAATGCACAAACGCAGAGTAGATATGTTAGAGCCTATGTGCAAAGAGTTGAATCCACAATACTATCTTCTAGTATGCAGACAGCTTCAGTTTGAGCTAGCTGACACTTATTATGAGATGATGGATTTGAAAGTAGCAATTGGCAACAAACTAGATGAGTTGGATTCTCACACAATTAAAAAGATCAATACTCTAGCACAGTCAGCAATTAATTACTATGAAATGTTTTTGGACTCCTTGAGAAGCCCAGATAAAAAGTTCCCGGAAAAGCTTGATGAGGACGTTCTCCGTCCTGCCTTGGTGGCCAAGTTTCACATTGCGCGTCTTTATGGAAAACTTATTTGTACAGATCAAAAGAAACAGCTGCAAAATATGCAGACCTCTTTGAATTACTACTTATTTCTTGTAGAATACTGTGAAAGATATGAAGATGCCATCAAATCAGTTGAAACAGAGTTGGAACTTAGTAAGGAAATGGTGGCTTTACTCCCTACACGTATGGAAAGGTTAAGAGCCAGATTAACATCCTTCTAAATTCTAGGCATAAAACGTGCTTCTGTGTTTATTTTAATAATACATTTCATGCTATATTTATTATTATTATTATTTAGGATTCCCTCCATGAAACATGCACCTGCAAGTATTGATTTTGACAGTAAATGTGTTCTTGGACAACGAATAGACCCACTGACAGAGGTTGGGATTGTTTTGTTGTTTTTCTAGAGAGGAAGAAGATTACAGAACAGTTCAGAATATTGAGAATTCTAACTGCCGACCTCCGTCAGAACATCCCTGAACATTTCAGTCCATTACAAAGAGTTAGACCGGTTTAGAGCAAGAGCAAGCTGTGTCAAAGTACTAAAGGTATAAGGCAGTCAGATAGCTGTGTGGATCATACATCGTCTTTTTGAGAGACCTGACCTATGAAGGTTCCCACAGGATACTATGTAGACCTCAGTGCTGTTCTCTTGTGGATACATATTTTTGAATCTTCTTTTTTTTTTTTTTTGCAGTTTATTTAGGTGACTGGTTAACAAACTGATCTGGAATTGTCTCCCCAGTGTTCTAAATCTCGGAATCATATACTGGGAGAAGCATTGTCAGCAAATTGAGATATTTCAATACAAATAATTCTTTTGAACTGTAGGAAACAAAGTTGTTAATTTAGACAAAAGAAAATAATTTGATGGCAAATGTGGTGTAACAAGAAATAGACATGCTTTCCGATTCCAAGTCCCAGTGAACTCAACTGTTTTATCCTGAGTGAGGCCATTTTCAATAATGTTCAAAATCTACATACTTTCCACTTAATGATACACCTTCTCCGAACAGTCTGGGTTATAAAATAAAAAGTAGCAGAACGTGACACATAGCTGAGAATTTTTAACATTTCAGATATCTTGGCCTTAAAGTTGAAATTAATTGTCAATTCACCTTGACTTCTCACTTTGTGCAACTCACTGCATTTAGAATTTACCCATTAAACCCCTTAAGGGGGGGTGTAGTAATTTTTCTATAGGCCGTAGGGGTCCTGTATTTAGAGTTACACATGCACAAGCTTGTGCTTTGCCATATTTATGAAAGGCTAGACCTGTAAATAATGTAAATAAAAATCTTATATGTGTTGGTAATAGTCCTACCTCTCTACACTCTATTTGCTGTCTCAAACAATATATATGGTAACAGCATACAGGCACCATTTGGCCCATCTAATCAAACCATGTTGAAACTTTATTTTGTGAATTTCTTTCATGTGAAAGCCTTATTCATTTCTTAAAGGACCACTATAGGCACCCAGACCACTTCAGCTCAATGAAGTGGTCTGGGTGCCAGGTCCATCTAGGGTTAACCCTGCCTGCTGTAAACATAGCAGTTTCAGAGAAACTGCTATGTTGACATTAGTGTTAATCCAGCCTCTAGTGGCTGTCTCATTGACAGCCGCTAGAGGCGCTTCCGCGCTTCTCACTGTGATTTTCACAGTGAGAAGACGCCAGCGTCCATAGGAAAGCATTGAGAAATGCTTTCCTATGGCCTGACTGAATGCGCCCGTGGCTCTTGCCGCACATGCGCATTCAGCCGGTGACATCAGAAGAGGGAGGAGAGTCCTCAGCGCCGAGGGAGCCTGGCGCTGGAGAAAGGTAAGCCTTTAACCCCTTCCCCCCCCCCTGCCTAGAGCTTGGCGAGAGTGGGTCTCTGAGGGTTGGGTGACCCAAAGACCCTATAATGCTGGCACTATAGTGGTCCTTTAAGCATTCCTAAATTCCTGCGAAGTGTCAGTCTATAATATGTCTAGCGGAAGCCTATCCTTCATTCAGTAATCTGATAGCAATAGGCTCAATAATTGACTCTTGAGACAGTCTTTCACATGCATTTACTCCAAGTTACTTGGGAAATATTTTATCTATTCCATTCTCTACACGTTGACTCAACGTGTGCCATTTATAATGTGGCTTATTGTGGGAGTAATATCAAATGCCTTACTAAAATCTTAATCTCTAAGTAATGCTCTATCACGATGTCTTAGTTTAGTGTCAAATAACACAATTTGTGTTTGATGATCTACACTCCATAAAACAGGTTGCCTCTGATTTTACAGGTATTTCATCTCTAGGTAAGAAACAGTTCTTCATTTTTCTATTCTTTTTCAAATACCAAAGTTTCTGGCACACTAGAAAAATATGTTGGCGCTGTATAAAGGCTAGTATTAATATATCTTGTTTATATTACCTTCCATGAGTGTGGTATAGAGTAACTTGAAGTTTTCAGTTACTGAAGGCTGCCTGTCACTGAGTTAATTTGCATTTTTAAGCATAAGCCGTAAACTTTAAGTTACAATTGCATCAATGGCTTCAGGACTTACGCAATATCGGTCATGTTCTGCATGTATATGAAGATATCTCAACTTTTTGTTCAACATAAGATGTCCTGTATATTCTACAAAGACTATAATGAATGTTAGTAAAGTGAATTAATCTTGTTGTAGCTCTTCTATCCATATTTTAATAAAGATAATAAATGTTTCTTTTGACTTTTATTTCATTGTTCATGATTTCTTTACAAGTTCTAACATATGCATTAATGGCTGATGGCCTAAAAGCCTTTCAAAGTGGCTGGAGTGCAAGAAAGCGTTTAAACCAGATATTATAAACTGTTACGACCATCAATTAAAATCTCAAAATGGAAAATAAATCTGTATTTGTTCTCCCCATCCCCATAATTGGGATTTAGCAAGCTGGAAACCGATGGATCACAGTTTGGATCAAAGCAAGAATCACGGATTTCACTACTTACGGCGACTTCCATTTGAAAGAAGCATTTTCAGAGACCAGAACTTACAACCTGCAGTGTTTAGTGAGATCTTGGAGAGCTACTGCTTTGCAAATCTCACAAAGCAGTTGTGGTCAGCATGGAGCGAGCTTTAAAGGAACACTTCTAACTGTAACAACGTCATCTAAATGAAGTGGTTATAGTGCCTAGAGTAGTCACCCCCTCTTTAGTGGTGCCAAATGACTGTATTTTACTAAATAGAATGCACAGTGCTGTAAGGGTCTGCCATAGAGAATCATTGTATTCAATGATTATAGCCCCTAGTGCTCTTCTATGAGGAGCATAGGATTGGACAGTCATCCTGGAGGCAGGCCTCCAGAATGACATCAGGCAAGGAGCAGGCCACACCAATGCTGAGGGGTATTCGGCACTGGAGAAGGTGCATTATTTATTTTGGCTTTATTTCATTTTTATTAAGAATGCCGATGTGTATTTATAATACTACATTGATAAATTGACAAGCTTAACAAATTGATTGATGTATAACTCAGCAAGCTACAGTAACCTTTGAAACCACAGAATCCATGCAAAGCCTCTAAAAGGACAAATTACTACTCCATGGCACATATGATGCTGTTGTTGTGACAGACAGCAGGATAACCTGTGTCACTCAATCCTTGGCAATGCGATCTATGCCATCAACATTGTCCTTTGATTGATATGCAAAGGGAGGTGCCAAATTATATGGCTTTTTCAAAAAATTATATACATTTTCTTAAAATTCTGCCAGCATAATATATTTTTTTTACCATGACATGTACACTTAGAGCAAAGAAGAAAAAAAAACACCTTAGACACAACTGGGTAATCCCTAAATCCTGGACTGGTAGGTGTGCCTTGAGGACTGGGTTGGGAAACACTGACTTAGAGTCCCTACGCACATAATACCTGACTGACCTCTGTGACACAGGCACCACCCATTTGTCATATGCTCTCTTTATGCTAAAACTATTTTGGGAAGACAAAAAAAGAACCTCAGCAATTACGTAAAAGTATATTTCACCATCAATGCATTATATTCCAACTAAATAAAGTTTACAAAGGCGGGGAAGGGATACAATGTACAATTTAAAAGGCTGACGATCTATTTTAAAATTAGTGCCTTGAATGCCGTTAACAGTAGCCAAGCCTCATTTGAAAACATTTTTGCAATCCTAACAATGACATCTCTCTTACATAATTTTCAGAGCAACTGTCTAACTTGCTGTTACATAGTAATCTAGGTTAAAAAAAGACTCAAGTCCAATGTTTATGCTGTTGATCCAAAAGATGGCAACCCCTTTCCCACAAGACAATCTCTCTGGGTAGAGAATTTCACATCTTTATTGTTCATATGAACATGGCAGCACCTTAATAGCCTTTGAAATGGCACACTGTTGCCTAGTTTATCGATATTTGTTCTCAAGTCCTTTCCATTTATGTTATCCTTAACTCAGTTCCATTTAATGTAAAAGTGGCTTGTGGGCTCCTTATTCCAAAATGTATGAGATTTATCTGTATTGTATCTCATCTGACACTTGCCCAATTTATCCAAATCCCTCTTTAGAGAAGTTATGTAATGTTTAGACAGTATTATCTTACATAGTTTTGTGTCCCTTACATACTCTAACATACACTGATCAACCACAACATTAAAACCACTGACACAGGTGGGATATATTAGGCTGCAAGTGAATAGTCAGTTCTTACATTTCATGTGTTGGAAGTTGGAAATTGGCCAAGTGAAAAGATATGAGTGACTCTGACAAGGGCCAAATAGTGATGGCTAGACGACTGGATCAGAGTATTTCCAAAACAGCAAGTCTTGTGAAAGGTTCCCAGTATGTAGTGGTTAGTACCTACCAATAGTGGTGTAAAGGACAATCGGTGAAACTGCATCAGGGTCATGGCTGCCCAAGGCTCATTGATACACGTGGGGAGTGAAGGCTAGCCCGTTTAATCCGATCACACAGAAGAGCTACTATAGCTCAGATTGCTAAAACAAAACGTAATTCTGGCTATGATAGAAAGGGTTCAGAACACACAGTGGGGACGTGAGTATCAGAACAGGACCATGACTCAATGAGAGAATGCCTGGTCTGATGAATCAAGTTTTCTTTTTGATAAGGTGGATGGCCAGGTGTGTGTACGTTGTTTACCTGAGGAAGAAAAGGCAGCAAGATATACTATGGGAAGAAAGCAGGTCAGCAGAGGCAGTGTTATTCTCTGTGCAATGTTCTCCTGGGTACCCTTGGTTACTTTAACAGGTACCACCTACTTAGAGTTTGATGTAGACGACATAAAATGTCTTCTGGTGTCCCTAATGTCAATGTCCTACTTCAGCTAGATAATGTACCCAACCACACTACAAAAAATGTTCAGGAATGGTTTGAGGAACATGACAAAGAGTTTAATGTGTTACATTGGACTACAAATTCCCCAATTCGATTCAAAATCTCTTTGGGATATCATGGGACAACACATCTAATCCATGGAGGCCCCAACTCACAACGTGCAGGACTTAGTATCTGCTGCTAATGTCTAGGTGCCAGATTCCACACAACACATTTAGAGGTCTTGTGGAGTCCATTCCTTGGTGCCTCAGAGCTGTTTTGGCAGCCCGTGGGAGACCTACATGACATTAAGCAGGTGGTTTTAATGTTGTGGCTGATCAGTGTGTGACTTTCAATGCCCACTTTCGAGATCATTTTTAAACAAATTAAGGAGAGGTGCACCCAGGACAGAACATGAGGCACTCCACTTACCACTTTTGTCAAATCTGAAATTGTTCAATTTACCACTATTCTCTGCAATCTATCTTTAACCCAACTGATATCAGTTTCAATCGTAATCTTTTGTGTGGAACGGTTTCAAATGCCATAGTAAAATCCAAGTAGATCACATCCACTTTAACACCCCAATCTATATTTCTACTACTACTACTTAATGCAATTAACTTTGTTTGGCATGTCTTGTCTTTTATAAAGCCATGTTCAAAATTAATTCTTAAATATGATCCTTTAACAGCACTTCAACTCATTTCCTGACCAGTTTGCGAATCTACAGTCTAGTTTAGCCTATCTAATTGCTCTTTTGCAAAGCCATGTTTGCATACAGACTTAAAAAAACAAAACAAATAAGATTATTATAAATACTTAAAATGGGTCACCATGTTTAAAATAAACTACATGCAGCTAGGTTAATATTTGCCATAAAGCCCAGCCGATCATATTCTGACATCTAAATGGGGCAATAAAAGACAATTGGTGTATTGATGGAGTTTAACATATCCATTCAAGGTATATTTAATTTGGGGGGAGGGGGAGGTAGGGGATGACAGAATCTAATATTTTCAGAATCTTTCACTTGAGTGAAAATTCAAAGGAAACTTCAAACTTAAGGTCCAGGTGTCAGGGTGGCGGTCCGGAGCCCGGGACCCAGACACTGTCCTGGCGGCGAAGTGAGGACTGGGACCCAGTATGCCTGATGTTCAAAGTAGGAGTCACAGCGTGGAGGTGGATTAGCAGAGTCTGGTGCAGGGTAACCGCACGCCCCCTGGTGTTGAGCACCAGCGTTTGTGCGGCCACATACCAAGATCCTGAATCAGCTTATGTGGATCCCAGGAACTAGGAGCAGGAATTAAGCATACCTCCCCGAGCTGAATAGGGAGGTACTGCAGCAGGAATGTATCCAGTACAGAAATAAGACAAGGCTAGGAAAGGCACCAAACATGAAAAACAAGACAAAACTAGGAGAACCCTGAACCGGAGAAGGATAGGAAGCTAAACCCAGAACATGTACACAAAACATTAGGGAAACATGAACATAACATGGGCAGGACAGGACAGGACTGTACATGGACTGGGAATAAAAACTAAAACAAGACAAGATTTGATAGGCAAAACAAGAGGAGAAATAACTAAGTACTATTGTAGTAGATTCTTTTCTGCCAACCAATAAGTTTGAATGACTATCTGTTCCTGTCCAAATTAAAGATAATAAAGTTGCGTGCACGCAGAAGTAAATTCACACTGAGACACAGAGTTCAGGTTAATGAAAGAACTTCGGAGAAGTTTAATGGCTTCTAACAGAAAATGGGTGCGCAGACCCTTTTAAAGGCATTATTACATCATTGAAGAAAATCAAGATATAGACAAATAGACATTGTTAATTGGCTTAGGTGCTAAGTAGTTAGTAAAATGCCCTCCCTACGGGGTGTACCATCTTAGGTCACTATCCTCGTCATGATTGTCTCCTCCAGGTTTTAGCGCCATTTTGTTAACATGAGGAGCTCACTCGACGGGAGGGGCCTTTTGGCAGCTATCCATTTAGAGTGTAGCCTGGCACTGTTAGTTTCTCAAGGTTAGGTTTCAAGGCTTTTAGTAAATACACATTTTATCAAAGCTATCATTGTAAGTGGGATGCTACAGTGTTTCACACTACAGGTGCATAATATTTCTTGCTGACATGCAAATTCTATATTCTATAGACAAAGCTTTCTTGTAAAACTATGGGGCCTCTTAGAGGTATAGCAAGAGGATTTAAAGGGGCCTTACAGATTTATAGAGGCCTAATAATTCTACAACACTATATATGACAATCATGGGGATTTAGTTACATTATATGATCATACATTGCATACGCCTGCCAACAACGCCAATGTGCCCCATATCTGTCAGGTCCTACTATGCCTAATGCAAGCTAAACCAACCAAAGAAAACACACACC